TTCGTTTATTTAACCCCCCAAGCACTAGGAAATACTAATAGTGATAAATTAAGCAAAGGGCTCTTCGTATTGACAGAGCACTCCCTGTTAGAAACAAAATTTAGAAATCGCTAGGAGTTAGTGCGTTTATTTTTTTTTTATCTTAAAAGTCTGACAACGATGTAACAGTGTAGTTTTGTAGGTCTATGTAAGCCCTAACACATAGCAAAAAAGTTAAAGGGTCGGAAACGATAAAGTAATATATACTTTTGTGATGCAATAGTTCAACAGTAAAACAAATGTGTTCATTTTAATATTGTAGTTCCCAGCTAACTTTTTCATTTTTTTCTATTGATTTTTATCTTCTAAAATATTTGATATCAACACTTAAATTATTAGAACTTATACGTTATTATTACGATATAAAGACTTAATATTATCTTTTTTGTTCCTGCTTTAAAATTCTTCTTTTAACTTCGCGGCCTTTCGGGTGAATAAAGGCTTCGAAAGTTATTTTTAACGGCCCTCCCCTGTTTTGCGGAAGATAAAAGTTATTTATGACTAAAAGTTAGGAAATTTGAAAGATCTGGGTTTTTAAAAGAATGTCTTTTAAGATTATTTAACCTTAAGGACATACATCCTTGGGTTAATAACTTAGACTCACTTATGAATGCTATTCATGTATTATTTTGTTAAGTTCAACAAGCATTATCCTGATTATTAACTACTATATAGATTTTAAAAAAATATTCAAACTTTCAGTTAGTAAGTGAAAATTTAACAACGCTTCAGGTTTAGCGACTTTTTTTTATTAAAAAACTACTCAGCCTCGACAGTATTAGATGAACACTTTATTCGATTGCTATTTTTGAGCAAGCCTCAAAGCTAGTATAAACTAAAAGAACATTAAGAGAGAAATTGTGTGATAGAGTCTAAGGTAGATTACTTACAAACTTATTCGAAAAGGTTAATATTGGTGAAATTAATGAACAAAATAAAAAAGGTTAAAAACTAAATTTAATTAATAACGAAGAGAAGAATTTGCTTAAGTAGTCTTCAAGCCAATTTTGGAATGTGCAGTTAACAAAGAATTATTTGTGCAGTTAAAACTGCTCTCTTTGCTTTATACTATCCTGTTGCTCTTGTTTTCTAACGTTATTATATTAAATTAATCCTTTTTTTTCCCAACAGGTTAAAGTAAAAACAGTTCATTTAAATATATTAGCAGGAAAAGAAGTTTTTACTTAGATTCCAAAAACTTAATAACAGTAAATTAATAACCTCGGTAATGGTAACCTTACAGTTTTATTACACTTAATATAACTTTGATTTTTTTTTTTTACTTGCTTATCTTCAAAAATACCAACAGTTGCAAGACACAAACTATTACCATTATAAAAATTAAAAGTTAATTATTATTTAAAAAGATAAGCTTTTCAAAGTTTGTTAACTTTGTAAAAGATGTGTGACCCTTTGGCTGATTTTTACACCACCTTTGAGGGATCTCTTCCTCCTGATTTTCAAGTTATAATTAATTCATTTTATGTTATATGTAAATACTAATAATTTATAAACTGCTTTATAATTGTAAATAATTTTTTTATTTAGAGGTACTTTCAAGTACTTCATTTAGTTAAAAACTTAACAAAAACGCAAGAAATAATTCAGAAGCAAACTTTAATTTATCTTAAACATGTATGACTTTTATATCGATTTTTCATAATCTTAATATTTTTTGCTTTTATTTTTAGTTTTTTTAGAACTGAACGTAATAAAGTAATTTTTTCTACTTTTTCCAAATAATCTTTATTTTATTCTTTATTTTTAATTTGCGGAATTAATTAATAAAACTCTTGTGGTAACAATTTTAATTTTTTTGACTAAATTTTTATTTATTTTCTTGGTGTGGCCAAGGCATGTCTAAAGTCTCAAGACGTTTTTCTTACTGCCTCCGAAAAGTTTTTTTCATACATCTATAATTTTTTATGATATATTTGTTATTAAGTAAAAAATTTTTTTGGTTTAAAACAAATTGTTTTCAACAATTTACATAATAACAAAAATACGAGTTATTAAAATTTTTTTCTGGAGACATAATATTTATAGTTTATACTTTCCTTTTTTTGTTAAAAAATTTATATAACTTAGTTCTTATAAAGATTTATTTTACATTGACTTAACTTCTTATTATCTACCGAAGTAAAATTTTCCTTACAATTACTTTAAAAAAATTTTAAATCCTTTGGTAAAAATTTTATTTATAGTAGTTTATGTTTATAATTTTTTATTAAACTGATTTCAAGAACTTTTACTTGTAAACTTTTGGAGCATAAAAAGTAACAATTTTTTTTAAATTATTAATCTTTTTATTTTTGACTTAACGATTTCTTTTTTACTACTTAATTTATATATATTTATATTAAAATACTATTAATTTAATGACTTTTAACAATATTCTATCAATTTTAGTAATTTAATTTCAATAATAATGTACTTTTATTTTTCATTATTTAGTGTAAATAACTTTTACTTTACTATTATAAATGAATAAAACAACTTTTTATTAATAAAGAGTACAAAAAGATTCTAAAATTTTAACTTTCGAAGCGCTTTCGAACAATAAAGAATCTCTTTTACGCCCTCGTAAGTATTTATAACATATAAACATATCTATGTATTACCTTATATTAAACTTTCTTACATGCTTCTAATAAATCTATAATAATTATTACTCTATTATTTTCGTTGTATAATAGCAGCCTTAGCATATATTTTTGTAAATCTTTTAACCGTCTCTATATTAATTATAAATAGTTTATATAGTTTTATATATATTGACGTAAACATCTTTGCGAGTATATTTTTATATATAAGTAAGATCGCTTTGCATTATTATAATGATAAGGAGGTATAAACAACAAATAAACCCTAAGCGTTTCTTATTTGATACTCATAAGTCGTTATTGGGTGCCCATTTTTGCGCATTAGCTGTCAATTGATTGGTCCTTTCTTTGGTTGGGAGGAATAACTGATCAATCATTAAAGTTATAATTCGCAGCGGGGGTTAGACAGGCGTAAGTTTCCAACGCTGGAGAGAAGAAAACCAGCTACGCGTTCTTATTTGTGCGTTTACTTTTCTCAACTTTACTATTGCCTATTTAGATAACGGAATTTTTAATTTTTGTATAAAAAGAAGCGTTATTTTTGCTAGTAAAAGCACAAAAGTTGGTAGTTTCGTATTGGTAGTGGTCAAAGTGCTACGCGTGTATGCAGTAGCAAAGCACATAAGAAAGGTTAGTTCTTACTAATTCACTAGTGAGTTTTAAAATAAATTCCAACAAGAAATAAAACGATAAATTTTAATTTTATTAATGAAATAATATAGTTTTGATTTTTATTGGGTTATTATCTATAAAATAAAAGTAAAATACCTTCGTGTGTTCAAACAAGTGTAGATATCGCATATATGTACTGAAAAACAATATCAATAAAGAAGTTTACTCGGTGCTTCCATTTTATTCCAGAGAAAAAAATAATGGGTAAAATAAAATAATCATAAAAATAATAAAATTAAAAAAATATATATTTGTGAAATCAATTAACAGCATTAACTTTAAAGGTAGCGTAGCTGCCTTCATGTATTCTATGAAGGCTAAGCAAGCCATGCTAATTAAGAAAGTTTAACTATGTATTCTACGATAAACTACGGTGTGGGGGGGGGGCGTGGTTTTACGTGTTATTATAAATAATCACTATGTCTTTTACCCTCCTCTGCGCTATTATTCTTCTAACATTAACTATTTACCGCCAGTTCATATTTCGATACCGTTATGCAAGTTTTCTTATTTAAAACTAGAACTTCTCTGCCTACACCGATGAAGTTGATAGGCCAAAATGCACGTGAAAGACGTTTGCCACGAATTATAAACATACCACTATTTTTATAAAACCTAAACTCCTGCTAAGTAATTTACTTTGGGAGTGCACGCCCCTATAAAGCCGTTTTTTCTTGTTTTTCTTCATATTCACTCTTTCATATAAAAACTCTCTGAGGATCTTATATTTTCATAAAACATTTATATTTCAGTTAGTAACGATTTTGCTACCTTTTTTTTATACATAATAAAAGCATCAGAAGAACAGCACTTTTGCCATGCGCAAGCACAAATCGCCTCACTAATTTTCAGGCTTCAACAGCAACCCGCTTTTGAATCCAACAAGGGCTTTCCCTCGGCCAATGAAAGCGCACAAAAAGTTATGATTTTTTAACTCTTTTTTTTTTTGCTTAATTAATTTTTATAGTTATTAATTTTATTATAAATATAAACTTTTTCCATTACTTTTTGATGATTTTTGTACTTTTGCTATATCTTTCAGTATATCTTTTACAGAACATTTATTCATATATTATTAGCTTTTTTCTACTGTTATATATAACTTTAGATGTTTTTTTACATTATATGACACTTTACAATATTTTTATTTTTTACTTATGTGTAATATATATATTTTATTTTTGATTGTTTAAAAATATATCTTTAAAAACTTTTTACTATAGAAAGTTATATAATAATATATTTTTACAACGATAATTTTAAAAAAAACTTTATATACTAGTAACACTTCTTTTTCAAAATTTTTAAAGTATAATATTATTGGTTTATGTTTTTATTTATATATCCATTCAACCTATTGAATTTTTAATGAATAATGGGTAAATATAACAATTTTTAGTGAGGCGAGCTTGGCTTATTCTCTATAGAATTAGTAGTTAAAAATTTTATTATTATGATTATGAAATTATTGCAATTTTTTTATGAGTTTAATAATAAAAAAGTAGTATAAATAAAAAATTGCTATTGGAAGTAGAACGTTTTTATTTTTCTGAAATATAATGTTTCTTATTTGCCCAAAATTTAAAACTGAAATCGGATTGTAGATAGAAAATTTTGATACTATCACCAATCGCTCGGATGGGTCGATTTTGGCGGTACTCGAGGAGGAAATTACGCGTTTTTTAAAAAAAAATCAGCAATTAGTGGAAAATTTTAATGAACTATTCGCACGTTTACAAAAAAGAGAGACTGTATATTATTATTATTACTATTATTATTACTAAGATTAATAATATTCTATTATTAGGAGCTTGACTTTTTAAAGGAAACTATAGAAGTTTGTACAAAAAGTTTGCAAGTATTATAACTTCCATATGTTCATGTTTATTATTATAAAAAAGTTTATAAATTGTTATTATCCCTTTTTTCTTTTGAAGCATTTTATTTGTTCATAATTTCTACTCTAAAAATTTTTTTTAGACAGCCATTCAGCTTTTGATTTCTATATTTATTAATCATGATTGGTTATTAATGATGTGAGTCAACTTTAGGCTTTTGGCAAAATGTTTTTAAGATCTTTTATTGTTTGACTTTTGAAATGCCTGAAAAATACTTTAAAGAGTTTTTTCAGTAAATGTAATGATTGCACTATCCAACTATTAACAAGATGCAACTTATTTACGAGTTTATTGGTGGGTTAATGTCTTGTTTGACCCCCTGTTCACCCGTCATTGGTTCATTGGTTTTACTTATTAATCTTTATTATTTATTAATATTTTTATTCTAATAATAATACTTTTATATATATTTTATAAATGTCCATGACTTTTTATTATTTACTTTCAGTCTATTATTAAGCTTGTCTTATTATTATGATATAATTCTTTGTATAGTTTTTTATGTTATTATAACTTTTTTGCTTTATTTAAAAAAAAAATTATTTTTTTAATATTTTTTATTATATATAAATTTTTTTAGGCAGAAAAAGAGCGACGACGTTGGATACAACAAGAACTTTCGTTGTTAAGAGGATGTATTAGAGTATATTATTATTATAATTATATTACTTCTATATATCCCCATTATAAATACTTCAATTACTATTTATAAAAATATTATATTATTATTACTGTAACTTTTTAATGAATACTTAAAATTTATTATATAAAAAATTTGTTATTTTATTTTTTTTATAGAAAACTTAAAATAAATATAACTTTATTATTATTCTTTTATATATATAATGACTCTTCTATTGTTTTACTTTTTATTATTATTTCTATTTTTAATAACACTTAAATAAATTTATATAAATATTTTATATTATATTATTGATATTAATAATTTTTTGTTTGTTATAATTTTCATTATTCATTATTATTAATAAAAAGTAAAAAATAAACTATTTTATGTATAACTTTTTAATATAACTTTTTAATAAGTCCTTAATTGTTTTACTTTTTATTATTATTCATAATTATATATGTAAATATATTAATAAAATATTATTATAGTAATTCTTATATTCTTTACTTTTATTACTAATATTTATTTATAAAAACTTGACATTTACTTATAAAGATATAATTATTATTACTTATAAACATAACCTTATAATAATGCTTATATTGTTAGTTTAATTAATTATTCATAATTATTTATACAAGATTGTAAGTAAATATAAAATATATATTCATAATTTTTATTATTATATTTAATATTAATAATTCTTATCTTGCTTTACTCTTTATTACTGTATTTTTACTATTTATCAATTATATTTTTTATAATAATTTCTTTTATATTTATTTTAATGTTTATTTTATTATATATATTTACTATAAACTTTTTATTTTATTAACTGTTTCTTTATAAACATCTATTACTGCTATTATTTTTCAATAATTATAATTATTATTATTTTAATATTATATGCTTCAAATTTTTTTTTATGTTTTGAATATTTTCGTAAAAATTTTATAGCGCTTTAGTTAAAAAGTTTAGTTTGTATTCCAGTAATTGCTTTCGTACTTTAGTCTCCATCGCTTTAAAAAGTTTGCGTATTGATGGAAACGTTTTTTCTCGTAGTTACCCTCGTTGTGTTTTATGGTGTCTCCATCATTAAGAGTTTTTTTAAAGCTTTGAGTGGCTATATGGACTTTTATTATCAATGCGGGAACTACTAATCGATAAGGAAAAGCTTGATACTGAGATCGCTAACGTTAGTAAGGACATACTCTTCCGGGTCAGGCCCGGTACAGCCCCGGTTATCCTTGCACTGACCACGGGTAAACAGGGCTGTGGCTCGACTTGCACGACAGGTGGCATCGCGTGCAATCGAATCTGCGTAGAAAGCTACACTTTCAAGTTCGAACGGATCGAGAGCAATGCATCGCCATGCCAAAAAAACCCCTCACAGGCGGCTAAGATTTGAGTTTGCGAAGAAGTTCAAAAAAAAGTTCTTGAAAGTTCATGTCCGGCTGATAAAAAGTATGTTTTCCGGACAAGACTGAGATCAATCGATATGATTCACATAGAAGGTGGTGGTGGAGATGATCCGGAGATAATAAAATATTAGATCGCTACGTGATCAGAACCTATAAACATGAGGGATCGATCTGATTTGGTCACATCTAAGGGGACCGGATATACGGAAGAAGTGGCCGTGAGCATCACTGCAAACACGTGTTTGGACATTGTTAAGAATGAATTATCCAGAAGCTATTGGTATTGCTGGATAATATCTTTCACACTGCACTATCGGTGCAATCATGGCTCTTACTACAGTCGTTCCAACTTCTAGACTGGCCTACATTATCTCCTGATTTTAATCCCCTTAAGCATGCATGGGGAATTTTGAAGGCGCACTTTGGACGCGGGTATTACCAGTATAGGAAATGCTACAATCGGCGATTGGCAGTATGCCAAAGAGGATACAAGCAGTGATCAAGCAAGGGGGCAGCTGGACCAATGATTAAAACCTCGTAAGTAACATGCGGATTGAGCGCTCGAGAGCATAAAAGGAGCAGTATGCACACACGTTTTCCGTGTGCGGGTTGCGCTCCTCATGAAGCTCGGATGTTTATATTGACGATAAACTTATTTATGATATAGAGTCTTTGGAAAACATTAGGCTGGTAAAATAAACCACGTGCAAATAACTCACCATTCACATCTTCTCGAAAGTTAAATTTTACATCAAGCATCAAACTGTAGACAAAACATAGAAGCCTATTGTGTTTAAATTTAAAGTAATCCATAACGTTACTGAAAAGTTATTCTACATTAAGTATAAAACGCACAACATTAAACAATTTTAAAACGGTAGTGAAAATAGTAAAAATCTTAAAACTAATTTTTTTTTTAGTTTTTTTTAATTCTAGTAAATTTTTTATTAGTATTTATTTATTGTTTACTTTTTTATTACATATATTTTTTACTTTACTTTTATTGCTTCTAACTTTTATATATTCTTTTTATTTTTTATAAGTATTTTATATTATATCTTATTTGACTTTTTTATTTTTATTCTAAAAATATTATTGCTATTATTATTATAATTGTTATGATGTAAATAAAAGGTGCACTGCCGTATAAGAAAAGTTTTATCTATTGACTTTCCTGAAAAAACTGGTATACACTTATTTTTACTACAAAAAATATATTTTAATAATAATCAGAAGTTGTTAGTAAAGTCGATGAAGAAACTGTTGAAGTTTATAATCAGCGAGGTTTCTTCATATAATTTAATATATTTTTAAAACATTAGAAGAAAACAAATATAAATACTTAATATATAAAAAACCTTTATAAAGTTAAAAAAAGTATAAAAGTTATAATAATAATATAAAGAATAATTATATTTGAATAAAAGAAAGTGTCTTAAATAATATTTTCTTATTAAGTTAAGAAAATTTATATGCATTTAAAAAGTTTAGAAAAAGTTTAGAACACTTTTTATTAATGAAAGTTTTAAAATTTGATGGTATTATACAAAAGTTAGCGAAAAGGTAATATCTAAAAAAAAAATAAAAATAATGAAAATTTACAGAAAAAAGTTTTTGAACTGTATAATTTTTGTAAATACCAAAAAAAAACTTCATCAGAGATTTTGAGCGAAAAAGTTTTTCAAGCCAATAAATAATTGAAATAAAAAAAATATAATAAAAAAAGTAAAAAACTTTGCAAAATAATAGAAGTTTTATAAAAAAAAATAATAATAAATTTAAGAAGAAAGACGAAATATTGGTGTTTTAAGAAAAATTTTAAAAAATATAAATTTTATATGCAAATAAAAAAGTTTTATGGTAAATTATAATATAAAGTACAAATAAAATAGTCTATTTTTATAAATATAAATTTATTAGCAAATAAATTTTTAAAGCTTTTTTTAAAGTAAAATGTAAATAGAAATTTTTATTAATAAAAGAATTATAAAGTTTTAAAGAAAAATTATATTAAAAATAGAAAGAAATTATTAAATCTAAAAAATTTTCTATGCAATAACAAAATTGTATTACTTTTTTATAGTAAAAAATATTTAAAAATAAAATAAATATTTAATAAATTTTCTATGCAATAACTAAATTATATTACTTTTTTATAGTAAAACATATTTAAAAATAAAGTAAATACTTAATAAAATAAAAATTTTACAAGAAAATTATAATTAAGGTTTTATAATATTATATAATAAAAAAATATTTTATATAAATAACAAAATTTATTAAAAGTTTCAAAAACTTCTATAGAAAATTAGAATTAAATAAGTTTAAAAAATATATAAATTTTACATGAAAATAAATAAAAATAAAATAAGGAAGTATTTTATTTTAAGTATAACAGGTTATATAAAATATTTATTAATAGGGAGTTTATAGTATAATATCACAAAAAATATAAATAAAATAAATTTTTTTTATAATAGAAATTTTTATGAAAATAAGTATTAATAGAATAAAAAAATTAAATTAGAATGAAAAATATTTCTTAAAGTGTTGAAGTAAATTATACAATAAATAAGAATTAAAACATTTAATATATATATACATTTTATAATCGTGTATATGTTAGAGCTAACCCTAATCAATCACGTGATATGATCACGTGGTACATTACATGTGTCATTATACCACGTGACTGTGTCACATTTACTTTTGTAAGAATAATTTATACAAATATTTGATAGAAAGTTTTTAAAAAAATACAATAAAAATTAACAAACATTACGAATATTTTATAAACAAATAATAATTAAAGTTTTATAATGAAATAAAAAAAATAAATAAATTAAAATGTAAAAATAGTAAATTGTAATTTTTTTATAAAGCAATTAAATACTAAAAATTATAAAGGAAATAGAGTGAAATAATTTTAATAAAAACTTAAAAATTTTTTTTTATTGCGAATAAATAATAAAAATTTGCGAACTTTGTAGCATAATAATAATACTTTTAAATTATTTGAAAAATTTTATTAAATAAAGTTAATAAAAAATAAAAATCTTTTAAGTTTATAAAAATATATTTTTAATAATAATATTTTATTATAAAGTAAAGATTGAGAAGTAAATAAAAATAAAAACTAATAATAAAGTTATATTAAAAAGATTATAAGTAATAAAAGTTTATTCCGACAACTTTTATTAGTATTATAATGAAAACGATATAAGCTTTTATGAAAAATAATATATAGAACTTATCATAAAACATATTTTTTAGTTAAAAAGGTTTTTATAATCTTTTGAAAGACAAAATATAAATAATAATAATAACTTTTATAGTGAAAACTTTATTTAAAGATGTTCATATGAAGTTTCACAAGTATAATTAATTATAGATTATTATAAAAACTTAGAAAAAAATTAACTAGTATTTAACTAAAAATAAAAAACTTCAAAAATAGAAAAAAAAATAAGTTTTTAATAATATATAAACTTTTCAGTAAATATTTATTAATTTTAAAAATCGTTAAAAAATAATAATAAAAAATTAACATTAAAAAGTATAATTAAGTATATTAATATTAATAAAAAAGGAGGAGGGGATTATTTATAGTATAAAGAAAGTATATGATTAATAATAACAAATATAATAAGTTTTTTAAAAAAATAACGTTTTTATTTTTAATAAAAAAAAAAATAAAAAAAAATTAAATAATAAAATGTGTTAAATGAAAAAAACTATGAAGTTCATATAAGAAAACTTTTTAAATTTAATTATTATAATAAAAGTTTTTAGAAAGTTTCTAAAAAAATACCAATTATAATATATTAATATAAAAATTATTATAAGAGGGGAAACTTTTATATAATAATTAAAGAAACAAACTTCTAATTAACATAAAATAATAATAACAGTGCAAGTTTATAAGAAAAGTAATAAAAAATATAATACATATTTTTTAGAAAAGTTATAAAGTTTTTATTAGTACAGTTTAAAACTACTAATATAGAAAAGTTAATAAATATTATTACGAAAATAATATCAGAAACTTTTTTTTTGTAATACTTTAAGTAAAAAATATTATTTATAAATAAACTACAAAAAAGTAATAACAAAACCAACGTGGAGGCGCGACCGCTTGGGCGTAACTCTAGTTAAAAGGCAAAAATAGTGATAGAAAAAGAAAAAATAATGATAAAATTAATGAAAATATATACTAATAATAAGTCAAATAAATACTGATAGCAATATTATTACGAGTAAATAATAATATAATAAATAAATATTAAAAATTATATAAAGAAATAGATTTATTAATTAATTTAATAAATTCAATTATAAAATGAATAAGAAAAGTTAATATTTTAATAGTAATATTTTTATAATGAATGATAAATAATAAAAGTATGTTAAATATAAAAATATTAGTCCATTACGAGGTAAATACTTAAAAAAGGGAAATTTAACTTTTTAAAAAAAATATTTTTATGAATGTAAAATTCTTCATATTATAAAAAATTAAATAAAGACAAAAAAAATAGTAAAGTAATATTTTTATATAAAGCTTAAAACTTATTATCTATAATAAGTTTAAGTATAAAAAGTAAACTCAGAAATAAAGAATTATAAATATATTAAAGTTTATAATAAATAATTTCTTAAATAATAAAAATGTTATAACAAGTTTAAATAAAAAAAAACAGTAAAAATAAAAAAACTATTTGTTTTAAATTTTTCATAATTAAAAAAAAAGAAAGAAACAATGTTCTGTGAAATATCCTTATTAAAAATTTTCTTACTGGATAAAAGAAAATATAACTAAAAGCATATACGTAAAATTATTGACTCTTTATTCGTTAAAAAGTTCATTTATTGGTTCTCTATTTTGTGTACTATTTTTAGGCGAAATATACAAGAAAAACTATGAATTTGATAAGGTTCATTTCCGCAATTTGATTTGCTATAATTTGGCAGAGTAAACTGATTGGTTTTTTATAGGTTTATTCCGCTTCTGATTCGCAGGAGGTCATTCACGCCGACATTGCTCCGTACGTGACCAATGCAATTAGCGGGTTGCTTATTATTATTTTTTATTTTAACCGTCTCATTATTATTACTACAAATTTTTTTTAATATTTTTAATTTTTATTTCCTTTTATACAATATTTATAATCCACTATATTTAGCTACAACGTATGCATATTGGCCTATGGGCAAACAGGATCTGGGAAAACTTATACGATGATGGGCGTTCCACCAAAACTGGTGTATAGTTGTTGGGGGTGTTTCTTATAACAATAATAGCGATAAGCACATCTCATTGGCTGTTTTTGCACCAATGAGAAAATTCATCGTTGGCAAATATTTAGTTCTAATTTTACTTCATATATCTGTTTTGATAATTTTTTAATGATACGCTATTTTTTTTTTCCCAACATTTTTTATAGTATCCATTTATACAATAATATAATTGATTGGCTTTACGAATATAATTTGTTCTCCAATCAATTAACAGAATGGAATCATTCCTTTTGTTTCAAGCGAACTCTTTGATATCATTGACACTAAAAAGTTGTACTTTACATATATTTTAAACCTTTTTTATATATTTTTGCGTTCCTATTGGTCACCTTCCTTCCGTGAACTGTTTTGTTTAGCAATAATAAAGTTGTTGGGGCATATTACAAATTTTTGATATAATAAGAATCGTAAACGTTCGCTCCCCCAAGTTTTATTACTGGGTAAAATACCAAACTTTCGCTTCTTCACTCTCTCCAATCACAATGCGCTTCTACTGTGATAGAGACTTTTTATTGATCTAAAAAAACACATTTATAAGTATAAAAATAGTCGTGATTCCGAGCTTGATAGGAAAGAATGCTTTAATGGTTCTTTTGAGGCCAACTTATTATTTTCATAATTTTAAAGTCTACTTTTGTTTACTATAAAACTTTCATAAAAAAGATACTGCAACACAACTCTGCATTGTTCGGTGCTGGAAATTTACTGCGAAGAGTTACACGATTTACTTAAAGATAAAAGCGCCAATGAGCCACGCTTGGAAATTCGGGAAGATTCCAGTGGTGCTATCCACGTTGGTTTCCACGTGCTTTTGTTATTTATTTTTTATATGTATTTTTTTGCATTATTATGTTTTTCTTTTATATCGCTCTTTTATAGTTATTTTACTTTATTTTTTTTGGTACAACAGATTCCAACTCTTACACATAAAAAAGTTTGTAGCCACGTGGAACTTCTTGCGCTTATTTCTAGTGCAGCTCAAAAAAGAATAAAATATAAAACAAATGTACACGCGGATTCGAGCCGTTCTCATTTTATAGTCACTTTGTAATTAGAAATATAATATAAATATTTAATTTTAATTCTTTTAAATAGTATGAAAGTAAGACTAATTACTCTATGTAAGATTACTCTTTTTGAGTGGTTTCTTGTATGAACATACAATAGAAATGCTGTATTTTAATAGGTTTCTTTGTTTTAGAAATTTTTAGTTTCAGGTTTTTTCATTAAAAACCTCGTTAGCTTGCCCAATACTCCAAAACTTTTTCTTTATTACTACGCTAACCAAAAAAATTTAGAAATTGTGACTCAACAATATTATCTACTTTTCAAAATTTCAAAATTTTAATGTATTTATATTATATTTTCTTTTATTTTTATAAAAGACATTAAAAAAAATTAATAATTTTTTTAAAATTTTGGTTTTTAGCTTCCATTAAAAAGGTTGTATATTATATAAGCTAATAAATTATAATAAAAAAATGAATTAATTTTCTTCTCCAATAATATTCAGTTTTTTTAAAAAATTTTAAATCACAAGCGTGGCACTTTATTGCAATTAAAAGCTTCTTGTAAACCCTTATTTCTATTGAACATTTTTTATTAATCATCATCTGACTAGTTGAATAGTTACCGTGAAAGTATCAAAACTTAATTTGGCTCAAGTCTAATTTTTGTATAGAAATATCTGCACCGTTTATGACACTGGCATTGAAGTAACTTCAAAACTTCAGTTGGTGGATTTAGCGGGTATTTTTTGCTGATATGTATTTAGTGGTTAATATTTTCATTATATTAACGAAGGGAGTGAATGTGTGGCGTTATCTAAAGTTCAAGGAAAAAACCTGGAAGAGGTTTTTTTAATATAATATTATTACTAACGACAGAAAAGTTAATAAACTTTAAGAAGGAAAACTATATTAGTTTATTTCTATAATGTTAGTTATAATAATTAACAATAATAAGGCGAAGTTCATAAACAAATCGCTGTCTTCTTTGCTGGATGTTTTGCAAACTCTCCGTAAAAAGGAAAAACATGTGCCCTACAGAAACTCTAAGCTGACCCGTTATCTATCGGATTCGCTTGGTTGCTTATTATTTAAATAAAGTTATAATTATTACCATTAACTGCGAGAGGTTTCTGTGGTAGAGCGATCAAGCATCGTAACTTATTTATTTTATACAAATTTTATTGTTGAAAATACTTAGCTTCTAAGATAGCATGATATTAAACATTTCAACCATAAAAAATTTTAAAGTATAGTAAATACCGAAAAGTTATAGGTGTCTCTCACAATTTATTTTATCACCGCAATAAGTATAAAATTTTTTTAAAAAATACTTGTTAGGAAATTTAGTAAAAATATACAAGGAATTGGAAGTTTTACTTTTATATTGTTGAGATTTTTTATATCAGATATCTATTAATATTTATATTGTTTGTTAACTTAAAGTAAATTAACGGAATTATAAATGCTTAATAAATAAAGGCGAAGTTGTTAAAATATTCCTGTTACGTATATATTACAAAACTTCATGCCTTTTTATTATTTATACACCACGTAGTACACCCCATTAACCAGAATTTAATAATTAATAGTAAACTCATTTGAGATATGTATGTATAATAAGATTGCTCTTAAATTTATGAAGATCCTTTCCCTAAAAGTTGAATTTTAATGTTAATTACTTAGTTTTCTAGTCTATTTCATTATACTTAATTAGTTCTTATTTTACAGATAACTTTGTAGTATAATATTTTTTTTTACTTTGCTTACTAAAATTAGGCGGAAATTCAAAGTTTATACTAATCGTATGTGTCTCGCCAACAATTAAGTACATAACCGAAACCAAACAATCTCTTAAATTTGGGGAAGATGCGCGGGCCGTGGAAAGGGGAAAGATTACTTCTAATAAAATGAATACTAAGACATAATGAGTTTTTACGCTTGTTATGTCATATTTAATAAAATTTGTATACCCTCGAAAGTTCTTTTATTTATATTGACCGGTAAAAGAGTTGAACGATCAAACTCTCAGGACGCAGCTCTGCTCTTTATTTAAAAATTCTTAGATAATTAATATATAAATATTAGATGCTTATTTTTAGTCTATTAATCCTTAATTGAGTAACAGCTTCAGTTCTTTCTGTAAAAACGCACAACAGCTCTATAGCTAAAAGTTAACATTACTCTCCCACGGCTCCCTGATGGTGGGTATGCCTTCGCTATAGTTCTTTCAACTATATCACAAACTATTTTAGTTTAGCCAATTGGAAAGAACGAGCACGACGCTCAAACGACTATGAACCGGAGGGCCTATAAACCATAACTGCAAAGAGCTAAATGGGACATATTGTGTCTCGCTTACTCCCAATATTATAAAAAACGTTCAGCGTTAGTACAAGTGCACCACCAGTGTTACATTCCCGAGGAAACATCACTGTCTTAAGGATTGCGAAGACACCGGGCTCGGGCTCCCACTACTCGATCTAGGTTGCAGGAAAACGGCTGAAAACAACTTTGAGGAAAAGCAACATGGTAGAGCACGTTCAATATGTTTTTAAGTATGATAAATAACGGAAACCTTAAGGGTATTTTTTAAAAAAAGCGTTCCTTTAAAACGCGTCTTTATGTCAACCTGAATTGTGTATTTAACAAATAGAGAAAAAAGAAAATTTATTCGCCCTCTAAAAACTCAGGAAATATAAAATATTTGAACAGAAATAATCGCCAAATTTAGAAAAGAAACAAGAAAATTATGAACAGTTAGTAATATAAAATTATTCAAACAGCTACAAGAAAAAGGAAATAGTTAACTAACTGCAAGCTCTTAAAATTATGATACAGGAACCCGTAAAAAACTTCTAAAGTAAAAAATTTTCTTTCAAATTTTATTGACAATTATTTATTGTCATAATTTTTATTTTAGTCTACATTAAAGCTGAAAAAGCTCCTCGGCGTTCAGTATTGGAAAAAAAGTATAAATCTTAGTAAAGTGTCACTGCCTTCTTTCAAATTTTTTTTTATTTGAATTCAAAATCTCGCATAACTCGGTTATATGAGTGAGGTACTGATATTAGAACTCCACAAAAAAATGAAGCTACTTAAAATACCTAATAATATTTATTGTCCTAGGATTTTATTTTACTTTAATGATGGGCTCTTCCTCATGTAAATTTAAATAATAAGCATTTCGCTAAATAAGACTTGGATGTAGTGTTATTTTAGTGTTTCTTCCTATATTATTATTTTTTTATAATGCATAATTTCAATAAGCGCTTATTTACGATGTTATATATCTTTAGGTGGCATAACTTGTAACAAATCCTAATAAAGGTACTACTATTTTCATTTCACTATATTTAAAAAATGACCTTAGCTTATCTTTGCTTTCGATAGGGTTAAAAAAACTTTCTGTGGTCTATTACAATTAAGTTAATAGCAGAGAAGCCTTGCTACCAGGGATATTCTAGTTGCACCTTTAGCTAAGACTTTAATGTTAAATATTTTATTGCTGAAGTAGGCCCAACCGTCAGGAGTGCAAGTTTGTAAAAAGCCTTATTAATAACTAACGGAGAGCATTGATTTTAATAAAGTGATTGACCCCAGTAAACAAAAAACAAACGAAGCATGTATCAGAATTAATACGAGAGTTGTTATATACGCAACCTTTGAAGACCGAGAAGAAAGGCTAAATTGATGAGAATCAAATTGCGCCCTCAAATTCAAGTGTCAATGCCTTTTTACCACCGTTTCTACGTATTTAGCCTGTTAGTATGCGGTTGTAGTTCCATATTAATTGAGCCTTACTCTAAAGAAACCTGGAGTGGTTGGATTTTTATAAATTACTTAACGTTGCCTGACACATGTTAATGACCAGAGTTTTCCTGCGTAACCCTCACGACTGAAAGTTTTTAAAACCGAAAGCACAACTGATAAGGATTGAGTTAATATTAGGGGAAAAAAAGCATAGATAACCCATTTTTGCGTAGGGCACTTCTCTGTATATCAGCTTAAATTTTACCAGACTTGGCTAGACGGTACGTAGAGATCTTATCTGTTTTCTCTGTGGCGTACTAACTCTTTTCATAATAACTCGAGCTGCAGTGTTAGTATCAAAATACATTTAAACATAAAAAATTACTTAACTCTTTGTTTGAAATAAGATCTTTCTATAAGTACTCAAGTACTAGAACTACGAAATTCTTTATTTTTGGCAACTATATTGGTTAAGTGACCGGAAAATACAAAATTATCCTGTTTCTAATCCTTCTTATTGAAGTAAAACTATAGATATAAATTAATCTTAAAAAAAATTTTTTTTTCTTCGATATCAAAATTTTTGTGGGCGCCTTCGTGGTTATTTTGTTTCAAGAGGGTCATCTTTATATAAATAATATCAAATAATTAAAAAAAAATTATATTTAGTAAGACCATATTTAAATAAAGTAAACTGATTACGCAAAAAAGTAGAGAAAGTCATGATTGAATATATAATTGTGGGTAAGTACATTTACTAGTCACCTTAATATTTTTTTATATTAACACTGTTATAACCCTTACTTTTAAGGTTATTTGCTTCAGTGGTAAAATCAATTAATTGTCCTGGAATGGAGGGATATTAATACCTTCGAGGAATAAATTGAAAATGTACAAAATAAGACAAACATGAAAACACGTGCTATGACAGTCACGTGGTATAGAGCGCATGTGTAGACACGTGGCACCTCGGTCTGAAAGATTACGTGCTTATACCACGTGGTAACACCAATACTTTTTCTTGGTGTAATTTAGATGACTACACACTATTGTTAGTTTGATCTCTTCTATTGCGTAGATCTTGATTAATCTATAGCGCTGTATAAACAATGACAGTAAAAGAAGTAGAACAGGTTTTTATTAGACTGTCCCGCACTCTCTCCTAAACTTAAAGCTGTTTTTGGAGCCTTAGAACGACCGTGATCTACTACCCCTATATATGGTAGCTTTTGAGATATAGGTCAAAAACTTTTTGTAAATTCATTACCTGTTACTTATTGGTGAAAATAATGACAAGCATTATTCTAAATACGGTTTTCAAAAATATTTATAACGTTTAACTTATTCCTCTATAAGTAGATCTATAATTATATAATCAGAACTATTACGTACACCGGCACGCATTCACAAACAGCAAGTTTAACCTTCTCAATGGTCTATTAAGAAGTAGTGATTAAGTAAAATTCCAGTACACGTGGACCATAATTTTTTAACAACTTCGCTGAAGTCGGTTAGTCTCAAAAGAAGTGAGGAAGTATTGCAATTAGACTATTCATAAAAGTCATACTAAAGTACAAACTGTAAAGCGTTCAATCTCTTTTAAATTAGGCTTAGCAGTGGTAAGAAACTCCAAGACGGAAGCCAACAAAAACCAAAAAAATAGTAGATTAACGATTTTATTAAATTTTTTTTTTTATATACATAAAAAAGTCCGCACACACCTAAAGTTTTATATCCGGAAGAATCTAAAGCTAGAAGCAAAAGGAAAAAGGAGAAAATAAGAAAAGAAGGCGAATTCTCCAAATATAAAACCTCATCAGTCCGACCAATCAGAAGCGTTATCGTCCTCGTCTTCCTCTCCAGATGAGCCGCCCAAGGCAACCTTTCTCTCGTCCAACACGCGGAGGAAGAGAGAGGCCATGTCCTTGACTTCTTCGTTTTGCTGCGGCTGAGGGCTAGGCGGGGGCTTCAAGGCGGACAGACGAGTAGAAGTCTGATAGTTAGCATGTGACAGATATTATAATAAAGTATACGTTGTCTTCCACTTTTTTTAGCTTGAACCCCGTGCGAATCTCACTTAGTAAATCTACGCGATTTATACATAAAAAGAGCGTAAAGCTGTTTGAAGGGAAGTGAAAAAAAAAAGAAGAGGTAGAAACCCCTTTCAGAGTCTGGCTCTCTAGGGGCAGGGACGTCTGCTTCCGAATCGTGTTTTGCAGAGGGCAGCGATGGCGGTGGAGGAGGAGGCGGTGGCGGTGGAGGCGCAGGAAAGCCCTCTACAGAACCTCGATCTAGAAAGATTGGCATTGAGTCATATAGTAATTACAATTATAATAAAGAAATAGAGACCCAAATCTGAAGGCGCGGGACTGGGGCTGGGTGTGCGAGATGCTGCTGAAAAATTGAATAATAAATATATAACTAATATCAAGTAAAAAGAATACTTCTACGTGACTCCAAAGTACTAGTAGGAGCGGCATGCGCGGGGGTGGGAGCAGCCGGCTGAGTAGCTTGAGTGTCTCCTGAAAAGCGGCACAAATAAGTTTTTTAATTACTCGAGAGATCTTTATAACCCGTCAGCTACCGTGCTTGGCCATAGCATCCGAGAGCGCAGCGGCTACGTTTTCGTTCTTTAAGAAAAGTTTGCGTGAGAAATCAGACGTGAAAGAGGAATGCTAATAATATAAGACGCACTTGAAGATCATTCTGAGTTAAACCGACAAGTGAAAGCGCTTGTTTCCAGTTTTCCGGTAAAGATTGAAAACTAATGCTTGTTGGTCCGACGTGGGCTACGTGTCTACGAGTCGAAGTTTTAGAGGGTACTAATCAAAGGTTAAAGGAACCCAGCAAGAGCAAAACCGGAATTCGTAAGGCCCCGAGATGATCAAGGGAGCAGTGGCGTGCTCAGCAGCGGTCTTGGGTTTCTTTTTTTTCAAGGAAAAAAATCCTCTTTTTCCGGAATCAGTTTTACTTTTAACGGTAGTGGCGGGCGGTGGTTGCTCCTGTGCAGGACTTTTTTTAGGGGCGGTAGTAAATTGGCGTGAAGCTGGAATTTCGGTTTCCACTACTGATTCCCCTCGAAGCTTCGCCCCTTAAAGATAAATTCAAAAGCAAATTCATATAAAGCAAAGAAAAAAATTACTAACTCCTCCTTTCCAAAAGTTTGCAAACTTTTTGAACCATTTCCGAAGGATCGATTTCATAACAAAAAGATAATCCACACATAAACGTCTATAATAGTTAAATTAATTTAATTAAAAAAAAAAGAAAAAGTGTCATATTAAGGAAAAATATAATAAATATTACATCCCCAGCAAAGACGTAAAAATTTTCCTTTAACTGCTTAAGTTGCATTTCCAAGTAAAGTTCCTGTTCCCAAACAAGTCGTTTATCCTTAATAAGTTTAGAAAAAATATTAAATTTGGGAGTTAAAAAAAATAAAGGCAATTCTTTAAAAGTAGAACCTTAAAGTCGACTAAACGTAAGCAATAGCATCTTCTATCATAATCTTGAACCAAAGAAAGATAGCCGCACCAACCAGTGTTACGCCAAATATTAGGATCGACATCCGCAAAATATAATTTCGCTATTGTTAAGGATAAAACCTGAAGTGATATCCAAAAAAGGAGGAACGGTATCGTTAGAAGAGTTAAAAAAAATAATATAGCTAGCACTTAAAAGGGGCTTTCGAACTCATTAAAAAATACTAAAAAATACAATAGACAAGTAAAAGTAAATAAATATTTTTCTTTCTAGTATAGTTTAAGGAAATGGAAGCACTTCAATATATAAAAAATAGAAAACCCCTTCTATAATCCTTTTGCTAAACACAGCGCAACTTTTACTTCAAATAGAAACTATCGATAACTTACTGATAAAATTATTTTTATATAATAGTAATAAAAAACCAACTGAAATGTACCTTACATCGGCGCAAACCATTCCCAGTAATGATTGAAAGGTTATTGTTTTCTTCTTGCGCGGTTATCATATCAAAGTTTTTTCTCTTCTCCTTACTATAGATTCATATTTCTTAGTATATTACTATCATTCCTATTCTTAAGTATTCATAATAAAAGAAAAGTGACCAAGTTGGATATAATAAGAATGTAAGTACAGCAAACGCGGAACCTGTTTTGCTTTTTCTATAATTTTATTTATTAATAAGACAATTAATAAAGAGCCTACACGCATTTAGTTTGAACCAATAATTTTGCCATATACTAACTTTGCTTTCTCGGCTCTATTAATGGAAAAGTCCATTGGTGTAATCTAAATGAGGATTAGGACTGGCGCTGCACTACAGTAGAATCCTTTCTGATTTTACTGGTTTTATAGTAAAGCTATGCAAAATTTATAGAATACTAACGTTGCTGGGAAGAAATTTAATAAAAGGAGGTTTCGCATTCATAACACTCTTTTCTACGTTCGTTAAATGAGTGTACTAGAAAACAGGCACAACATTTATAATTATTTTCTTTTACAGACTGACAAATACTAAGTATTTAAACTCTTAATAACTTGCAAAAAGCGTCGTAAATCTGGGTTAAAATCAAGTTCGAAATATATTAATCTTTCCTTTGTAGATAATCCAACCGTATTTAAGCAGTTAGTATGCTATGAAAAAAGTGCATTAGAGAGCGCTAGTATAGTTTTTATAGAAACAAACGTATTGACATTATAACTCAGTTATTAGAGCATTGAGCTTAAAAGCAATGTCGCATTTTCCATTTCAACTAAATTTTAATACGGCGAAGGGGCATAGATTTTGGCATATAAAGTTTAAAAATGGAGGAGAGTTTGCGCTTGTAAAACTAGTTTTTTACAGCTTGTTAGGGTAAATTAGTCTTCGCTCCCATTAAACTTAAAAACTGTCTGCTATGATATACTTCCAACTATAATGCACTGACGGACGCTAGGCCCCGCCTACATATAGTACCTTCAGAGTTGCTGACTAGTTTTCTTGACATTTCTGAGCCTTTATATAAAAAAATATAATTGAAAATTCAGTCTCAACACGTTTTAGACCTGTTATATACTAACCCTGAATTTTTCATGGTACTTACGCTACCAGTCAGGCTGTTTTAAAATTTGGTATATCAAATGCCTACATCTAAGGCATAAAAAAAAACATTTGGGTAGCACAACTTGCAACAGTAAAAACTGGTTCTGTGAACTATGAAACCTTAATTGCTCAGTTTTTTGTCTTGGTCAATTTAGATGCGTACTTAGCATTTCTTTATTGTGCTAATGCAGGCGGTCCATTTTGAACGACTTGAAAAGCCATGGCAACTAGATGAGAGCCGGCGCTAGCATATTAGAGTCTTGCCTTTAGCTCTTATGAAAGTGGTTAGGGCGGTACATAGTTTTACATCTCGTTGCATTTTTGAGCTCTTATCGTAGTACCCTCGAATCGACAACAGACCCGGCAGTATTGAGAATGGCGGAGTTGCCTCTTAAGCAACTACCCCTATTCGTATAAGACTTAACAGGTTTCATTAAAGGTTCCTTTTCAACACCCAATTCGAGCGTGACAGGCAAGTGTTCTGACGCCGAAAGACTTACCTACCATCAAATGGCGAATTCTAGCGCGTCCATTCTGGCCACCGTCCTCGGCCTATGCGTCTGGTAGGAGAGCCCCTGCCCCTCTCCACCCGAGATCTTCAGCACAGATAGAGCCCCCATGAAAGGCTGGAGTCATGTACAAGAAGAGCGTCAAGCTCGAAGGGCGAGTGGTTTGCTGAAGGAAGAGCTTATAAATTGTAATCCTCACGAATTCCTTTCTAGCCAAGTAAAGAGTAATTTGAAACAACCCCGAGTTGGCAGCGCTACTGGATAATGTTGTACTCTTTGTTTGGTTAGGATAGAATACGTCCCTCAGAATTATAAAAAAAATATTATAAAATGAAATTAGGTAAAATAAATAATAATGTACAAACGTATATCAGAATCTTTATGTATATATACATGTAAAATAAAGGAGTATATTAGTATAATAATAATTAACTTTGTAGTCTCGTTAAGTTTAGAAAAACTTAATTCCCCTATAGTAGTACCTTTATACACCGCGTGAAAAAGTCTAAACATTATGTATAGAAACTTAGTTAGTTTAACAAGGTGTGAAGGCTCCTTTCCTGAAAAAGTCTTCCTAGATCAAGCTTCATAAAGCCGGCAGTAGACTTATTCAGGATTACCAAATATATAATATGCAAAATTGGCTTACCATAAACTGACAATTTCTTTTAATTTAGGGACTCTAATTCTTTTATATTAAGTATTTCTAACACATAAATTGCATTAAAAATTTATTGGTTAACTTTGTTTATATTTACTCTATATTTCATAAAAATAAAGAAAGATGCTGTTATACTTTTATTCTAATTTTCTGCTTTTCTGTTCTTATATTTTTCTTACATTTAAGAAGTGTCTTGTTGCTCTCACAATCTCTTAATTTTTATAATTTTTTCATTATAATACCTAAAAAGGGTCAATGATAAAAATAAAGAAGCCAAGAAGTCTAACAATAACCACCTCGAAAGCAAAAAATAAGGTTACTATGTTAAATAATATGCAATTTTAAAAGGCGAGGAGTGACTATATATGGAATGCATCTTTTATGCACAACCACAACAGTTGTAGACGAAAAGCACGATGTAATACCACAACGTTATTTTTAAATTTAACCTTAAAGTCCATGACCAGAAATATTGAACCCGAGATACTCTAACGTCGTACTTAGATATATATAAATGTTAGGGGAAAAAACAACCCTAACGGTTTTCGGGTATCAACTACGCTATTTCTCTTAATGTAAAGTACAGATCAACCCTAAATTAATTTTACTAAAAGAATTATAATGACCACATTAAAAGCAATATCAAAGCTTTCAAAAATATATTACCATGGAAAATTGCCATATAACTTGTTGGATGAATATATATATATATATTTTATTTAATTAAATGTACTGATTTAGCTGGTATAATTACTACCTAATTAACTCTTAGATTGGTTCTTAACCTTTTTTTCTGAAACTCCAGGATAACTCTTAAAAACTAGCCAAGTAATAATTTTTAATTATGATACAATACGAAAAGATAAACAGGTTAAAAAAAATTTAAAATTTGTGTCATCAACATTTTTATAATTTCTTACTATTCATAAATAATTAACTATAGTAACGCATAAATACATAAACTTTAATTTTTTTTTTTTTACAAAGAAATATAGATTCTCTAGCGCATTCGATTGGTAGCGATAGAAAGAAACTTGGATGGTTCACTGCTGCCGTTATATATCTTGTTTTCATAGGTGACTAATTTTATCTAACAAAATTTTTTTAATTCTTTTGGTTTAACGTTAATCATTATGACTTATTGAAACGATATATAAACATGGTTAGACTTTAACTTTAGACAGATACCTTCGGGAAAAATTAGTAAAAATCAGTCTTTTAGGGAAAGTTGTGCTTGCATTCTAAATTATATATATTTTTTTATTTCTATTTTAAAATTTTTTAATAGAACTTATTCTCATAAGAATATATAGATATGGTGTAATACAAGCTGTAAGACCTTGAAGTTACGTTTAATTCTAAGTTCGCTTAAATAGTGCCGTTCCAAAAGGGCAAGATGGCGATACAGATTAGAAACCCTATGATTTAGAGAAAACCCCATTAAAAAACAATATAAAAGCAAAAGGAGCTAAATATACTAAAATAAATTAAGTCACCTGTAGAGGGTAAGTGAAATGGTTTTTTTGGCAACACCAAAAGTAACTAATAAAAGTAATTATATGCTATGCAGAAGGAAGGTAACCTTAAGTTACCGCGCAGTACGCAAGTGTTGTAATTTAAAACTTATATTTGTCATACTGGAAAGTAAAGGGCCCCACAAATAAAATAAAATGTAATTATAATAGAAACCAAACTAAATAACATGAATTAAAAATAATCTAATTATAATTAATTCAAATAAACTAAAATAAAATGAAAATTTTAAATAATATAATTATATAAATCAAAATCAATAAAAATGATAAAATTAATAATATATAATTTGATTTAAAACCTTTACCAAAAAAGGACTTCTCTTCGCAAACTGATAACTACGTCGCTTGTTCACACATTAAAAAATAATTTTATTGCGGTTTTTAAAAAGTAGTTTTCTTTTCCAGTGAGTAAAAAAATATATAAAAGTAAAAGCAAAAAAATGAGTACTAAATAATTATAGTTATAGTTGTACTTCCTTAAGTGAAAACCTCAGCATGTTGTATAAAAGTATTATAATCGGTTGTACTTCTAAAGGAATACGTTGGCTGGTCGTTAGTAAACTCCAAAACATACCCTCTTTATTAATAAAAACTCTTCGTTGCCTCTCAGTGTATTAGTTTGTAAACATCGAAAGGGCTATTAGTGCTTTAGGCAAATAAATAGCAAGTTATTAATATTTTACTTAAAGAATTTCGGAGTATTATTATTTTAACTGTTGCAAATACTTCCAAGTACTCAATACTACTCTATCCATTAGTACCGCTTTTCGTAGTATAAAAAAAGTTCATTATTATTACTTTATTATTACACAATATTATATTTTCTATATATTGATAGCTTTTTATTTGCCTCCATTTTTAAAAACGCTATCTATTCAGTCAACTCATTTATCTTATGAAGCCTTAGCTAAAAAAGTAATTCTTTCAGTTTTTATTAAATTTATTTAATCAAATAGTTTAGCAATAATTTTTGATTTTATTTTAACGCTTTGTATTCAAGAGTACGAATAGACTGCTGGAAACGTGTGCACTTTCAGCTTCTCGGATCAGCAGTTTACAATTCAAAGCTGCTGCCGGTTGTATCTTTACAATATTATTTTTAGAACTTTTACATCCCCTTTAACTTGTAATAACTTTCTTCTCCCTTACTAACTTCTTATATATTGACACTTTTAATTTCTTTCTTATTTTTTAATTTTCTTTCTCGTAGAATCAATATTTAAGGCTGTTCAAGATAATGAATTGGCACAATTATTTTTAAATTTCTTTGGAGCAGCTCCATTCATAATTTTGTTCTCCGCAAAGGACAGCGAAATTGGTACTTAATAACTATTTTTCTCTCACTAAGCATTAATTTTAATGCTTTGGCAAAATTTTTTTTTTTGAAACGATTGCATAAACCTTTCTGAAAAAGAAGTTTAGTTAATAGCGAAGAGTTAAAATAATATTAATTTTTTTAATAAGAACACTAAGTAATATATAAATTTGGAAAAAGTAAAAATCGGCAACTTAAAATAAAATTGCCTAATCTTTCCCTTATACTGATTCCTTCCACTTATCTAGCAAAATAGTTAGATTCTTCCTACAATGTGGTCTTAACTATAACCTTAATTGAGAAAGTTTTTGGTGATATTTTTTTGTAAAACAGTTGACTAATGGATTTAAAACCTTTATTTTTGTGGAATAATATAAATTAGTTAATTAGGTGGTTTCTCATTAGACAAGTTTACAATAATTGCGTTGCCCCCTACAATATATTGTCAAGTGCTTAATAGTTTAAACAACTATTTTTTATAAAAAAAATTAGAATATTATACATATCAAGAAATAAGTTTTCACCCGCTATTTATTTATATTATGATTTTTCTTCTCATTATACTTTGGTATCAGTTTCTAAAATCAATGCTATCGTTAATGAATTGGAGCTACAAGCATACACGAGTGTAATCAATAATTTAATTTATATAGCAAAGGATAAATATTTTAGTATTGAGTTTTCTATTTAGGTTTATGAAGCATAAAGTTCTAGGTTATAAAAAAATAATATGAATATAAAAGACATTTTATATATATGTGTGTATTTATTAGGCAGAGGGCGTTGAAACTTTCCTCAGGAAAACATTGCTTGAAAAAGTCGGAAATGACTTTGAGTGGCTAAAAATATATAGTCTTATTTTACTACAGTCAGACAGATATTTTACTAGGTTAATAAAAAACAACCATTTGAATATAATGCTTATTAATAGTATTTTCTTTCATCATTATTATAGAGTCCTTAGCACGAATAACTTTCTTTATATCTTTGAATTTAATAACTACATTGAAAAAAATTCGTCAGAACTAAATAATTATGCAAACTATTTCTTTGGAAACTATTTATGTATCTCTTCAAGTCCTTATCTTGATAACCGGCGTATTAATTATATTAATATCTGTACTACAAGCCCAACTCTGTAACTTCCAGCCACCCGAGCAGTACACCAAAACATTAAAGTTAGCTGTATATGATATCATAGACTTACACGAGTTTGCAAACTACCAGTATATGGTATTGTTACAGTAAATTAAACCGAAAAAAAAATTTAATGCTTATACCTATTTAAATTCTTTTAGCTGCCTGTAACGATTATAAACATGTTGATAGTTATTGTCTTCTCCGCTTTGGTCTTTTGGTTTAGGCATGAAGTTGAAATAGCTTCAAGACATAGCGCTTTTCTATTTCAGTTTTTTATCTCCGTCAATATTACCTCGTTCTTAGTTTTAGCCATAGGTTGCTCAATGTATATACAATAGTAGTGCAATATAACTTTGTGTTAGTAACTCTGTTACACTATTGCAGCGGCCACAGGAATAAATGTAAAATATACTCTACCGGCAAGAATATTAACTAGCTTTTCGTGGATCTTTTTTTTTTCTACTCTCTCAGCAATAAACTGCCGTCAAAGGTTGATGTATATGTTGTTTAACCGACCACCTGGAAGTTTTTCTTACTTTCTCCCGTGGACTTATCATATTTTGATTGTAAGTGCACTTCTAATTTATCCTTGTTTATTAAATATTAACAAACTTCATACCATATTAAGATTGCATTAAGTGTACTCTTCTTTTTCCTTTTTTCCTACCCATACATCCCTTTTGCAAATTTATTAACTCTTGCGAATTCTTATGTGTCGTTATTTGTGGCCGGACTATTTTTTATAGCAGGTAATTATAAATATACCATAATGGTAAGCAAAAGTAATATAACTTATATTATAGAAAATGCGTTTTATATTTTCGAGACGATAAACTGCTGGGAATTTTTCGTTGATAGTTATTACAACTTAAGAAGTATTTTATTATTTGGAATACTTTGGGTTCCCCTAGTCGCTAGAGTACTAAATGCTACTAAGACATACCAGTTATACCTCTACGTATAAAAGCTTTTTTAACATTAATTTTCCTCGAGATATAGTTCTAACTTTTGCAGGAAAGCCTCTTTTTGTTCCGTATAACTTACTTTATAAGTTGTTATGTGGTCGACTCTTACAGCCTCCCCTTATTGAAAATATACTTACGGAGTATACATAGCAACTTATTTGATAATGTAATTCTTTATACTAATCGTTTCTTATTTAAGAATAATTATATAATTTTGTTATCATTACAGGTAAACTTTTTGGCCCAAAATAAGTTATATAATGTGGAACAAATAATAAAGGATAAGCAGCTATGTTCATTATTTCTAAGTTACCTTGAGGGTAGTAAATGTATCATTTATATTCTGAAAGCTTACATTTCATGTGCATAACTTTTTGAATAGAATTTCATTCTGAGGAGAACCTTCAGTTTATCTTGGAGTACAACAGTTTAATACAGTATTCTCCAACTGTGTTGATGGAAAAAGTAATAAAGTTTTATAATAAATTCATCGCCTCAGGTACTAGATAAAATATAATATCCGCTTCACCCTTATTATATATCCGAATAGATGCTTCTCATGAACTCAATTTAACATCCTATACGGTGAATAATTGTCGTGATAACTATAAAAAGTTACCTTTGGAGGCTTTTTCAATTAAAATATCTGAAGTAGAACTTTAAATATTTAACTTTTATTGCGTTTTAATCTTCTTTTTAATAGTTCGCACAATTATTTCGGCCGGCATACGAAGAGATAATATTGCTTTTACATCAAAATTACTTTCAAACATTTATTCTTACCCCTGCCGTTATGGAAAGACAAAAATATTTAGCGTTGCAGTAATAATTTGTGGTTAAAATCTAATATTACGGTGTTTTGCACCAAACGGATTTTTGTAGTTGTACGCTCTTTTTAATAATTAAAAATTAATTAGCGCAGACTTCTTTTATAATTAGAAATTATAGCCAGGCATTTATACCTCAGACGAACATCGTGCAGGAGCTTATGCTGTGGTAATACACTAAATATGTAACCATTTAAGATCCTCAGAACCGTTAACTTAGTCTCGGCCGCCGCCTTTTAGAAGTTTAATAAAAAGCTGTTATTTAGGATAAACCCCTGAAAGTATGAAAGAATGCTTATCTAAATAGTGTACACATAAATAAAATTTTTTGATTATAGCGCGATTAGAATTCCAATGCCCACACCCACAGAAACGCTATTGAAACTAACCTGAAATACAAAATTTTAAAGTTTACTGAAAAACAGATTTAATAGATACTTCCCTTATTATATAACTGTCTGTCGCATCGTCGTTAACTTTGTGCTTTCACTCTTAGTATGGGCAATACAGTTTGAATGTGGGTGTGTCAAAGATTTCTGTTTTTAATTTTTTTTGGCAGTAATTACATTGGTTACCTATATTTTTGGAGTATATATATATAAATTAAGTAAAACTTGGATAATTTAACTTTATTTTTATTGCTAAAGAGGAAATATATGAAATATTTTTTTTAATTATATGCTGAAGAACATTCAGTATTGATCTAAATTTAGAAAAATTATAATCTTTGAGATTGCGAAAGTATATCAACGAAATTATCAGTGAATTAGACGAATATACCAAGGAAAACTTTATAAAAGGATATAAAATTTAACGCTTAAAATTAATGTTTTAAAATTTAAATGTATGGAAAAATAACGAGCTAAGTTATTAAATATATTGTTAACCAAACTAGAGATATATTTATAAAGCACTTTTTCGATCTGTTAAGTTATTACCCCTTACCCATATATAAAAAGATTAGAAATCCTTAAATACGTACAAAAAAGTCAAAGTTTGTACGATATTTCTCTAATAACCATATAAAGGTAATAGAGACATATTATGTAACTGCAAGAAGAACTAAATAAATGAACCAGGTTTCATCTTTGCTCATAACGGCGGTTTATAAGCGTCTAATAAATTCGGCATGAAAAAAGAAAACATTGGATGTTCTGGACTTTTTCGTATTTGTAGGGTAAGAGTCATTTGACAAATTGGATTCGAATCAGTTATGACGGTAAAGATTTATCGAAGACATTCTTTCTGCTAACTGAGAAACAATAACTGATTCTGATATCCCCTTTCATTACGCAACTTCTAGCAAAATCTGTATTACTTAACATCGCTTGGGGCGTGACTGCAGCTTCTGCCATCCTAAAGACGGCAAGCAGAGTTGCGCATTGACCCATTTTTTTGCCATACGAAGCTGATGACGCTTATCTGCGACCATCGGTTCTTCAACGAGGTAGAAATGGATTGTAGTGCGTTGAGGACAACCAGTTATAAACGACTGTACGATACACTAGTAAAAAGCCGATTGCACACCCCTGTTACTAGTTTAAATTTAATAAGTTAAAGGCGCAATGAAATAATTATAATAAATAATTATTTTAAGTTTCCCTCAGAAATTTTATGTCAATCAGGCATTGCAAGACGACCTCCTCTGCGGAACGGCGAAACTATGTTCGAAAGCGATGAGGACACTGCCTTGTGCACACCTCTTATCTCTTCATTTGATGTTAATGCACTTTGCTATTCGAGCTTACTTCTAGCTATTACAAATGAGCCCCATAAACCATTTGAATCCACACATATGCCATCATCAACTATAAGCATATGTGCTGCTGACAAAGAGACAGTTTAACTATGCACGCATTGTCTTACCTGCATACTAGCAAGGACTTCAGGTGCCCAATAAGCTTATTCGGCTTACTGAAGAAGGCCAAGTCCTCCATTCAAAAATGACTTTAGGTTTCGGTAGAGAGTGGTTGACTAGGAATTATTTATACTATACATGATAAACACGATCCCATCAATCATTTTTGTGGAACTTTTTGGAATTTGTAGAGAACTGATTAGTATTCTTTAACATTCTTTCCGCGTGTGATGCATGAGTTCGGTTATATCGTGAAATATATCGTTATTGGTCTATAAATAGCTATATACTTTCATGATCAAAAAATGTTCCAACTAAATATAAAAATGAGCTGAATAGATTTACATTTTGTCACGCTATACTTCTCAGTTCAAGTTAGTATTTTTAGAAATACTGTTGAAATGGTTTGACCATATTGAAAAGTCAGTTACCATTTTGAACTGTTATAGACCAACTTATAAAATTTTATCCGTACTATCATATTTCTGTCAACTTCTTAGCGCAAAAGCACGGTTATATAATTAATGTTTGTACATAAATACCAAAAAAGTGCAAGTGCTGGAAGGGCAAAAGAAGAGTAATCTCTGTGCTATTTTATTAAGGAGTTCCTGGTCTGTATCTATTATCTTCACGGAAAAGTGAAAAAACATTCAGAATTGTACACGTAACCAATCAAACCAGAAAAATGTGAGTTGACACCGACGGGAATAGTGTTCGTATTATCAAACCCTAATTGCCAGTGTACAAAGAATCTTGCGATATTTTCTAATTTAGTGCTGCCAAACTTAGTTTACATACTTTCCTAGTATTGAATAGTTGGGGCCACAGATTATTTCAAAACTTTCTGTTTTTGAAAATCATACTAACAATTGGGTGAGTTGCCTAACAATTTGAATTCACACTCTTAAAAACTTTCGTGAAATTAAGAAATTTGCATTATAGAAGTACTAGTAAAACTATAATTACTAGTAAAACTATAATTTTTTGAGTGATATGGAGCTCTATAAAACCGAAAACATGACCAAAATTATTATATATACACAGAATTTTACAAAAATAATTATATTCGGTGAATTATTAACTATCTCTTTTTCCTCCTTCAGGTTTCTTCCTTCACAAGTTTACACTTTAAAATTTATTGCCTGTCGTTAGCCTAATAGGTTACGCTGTGCAAAAACATTTCGAAATTTTCTATATCCTTATAACTGATTATCCACACTTAACTGTGGGGCGTCCTCTTTTGTAATTGCGGTCACTCTGTACATACATTACTAAAGTAGAACTCAACTTCATTATTTTCTATTTTATTATAACATTTAGTTAATAGTGTTGTTCCCTTATAGAATTAGCCTTTTACTACAAATAAAAGTTAAAAAAAGGAAATCGGACAAATAGAGAAAAAAGTTTATGAGGCAAAATTCAAAGTATGTTCGCTCCCAAGTAAATCAACGAAGAAAGAAAGGAGAAACTATCTTAAAAGAAGGTTTTAGGAAAAAGAATAAGGATATCAAAGTTATTGCGCAAAAGGTAACATGGGTAATGAGCAGTAACTCTCGCGGAAATGAATCTCGGTTAGATTCACGCGTTATTGCGGTACTTGACATAATATATACGTGGTATAACCTTGCAACTTATCAGTTAATTTTAACATGAAATAAAAGGAAAAAATTAATAAAGCCTGTCCAAGCAGGAACCTTTTTTTCCCTACCTACTTTGCCTGCGCCTCATTAGGCTTAAACTAGTACGTTTGGAGGAAGTAGTTAACGAAAAGGACTTATGCGGTTTAAAAAATAGCTGTGATATCTATAAATATAAAAATTTAGAAACTCTTTAGGCAGAATGGCAGTTGCTATAGACTTGTAAAGAATCTTCACAAGGAAAGCTAATTTATAATAACATGTTTAACATAGGAAAAGAAAGGCTGCTGCGTTTTAAGGAGTGTTCGAGCGCTGCTTAGAAAATTTATAATGATAATTAAAAAAAAGATTCTTTTTTTGCTTATTCTTAAATCAACCATAAAACACTAGAAGGAAAATAAAATTAAAATTGGTGGTATACAGCCTTTTAATTGGTTAATAAATAAAAAATATATAGTAAAAGTAATGTACTAGCAAAGGTAGTGTTATTATATTCGCTTAAAAAGGGTTCAGCTATATAACTTTATTATAATATAATCTACTTCCAGTTCTTATGTTTTTAAAGAATTTAAAACAATATTGGATCTTCCTAAAAAGAAAAGTATATGAGGTTTTTTTTTTTTAGTTAAACAATGTGTTTTTATTAATGAGTAAGTGCTATTACTTTCAAACTTTTCGGCACTGTTGCGCCTATAAAGTAAACCCACACTAATACCAAAGCTAAATTTTTTTTTTTTAGAATTTCCATAACGATATCTACAAAACCCTAACAAAATTTTGTGATGTCTTGAAAAATATTTAAGCTTTAGACTTTATAATTCTTTCATTATATATAATAATAACCATAAGGCGACGGATCGTTTTAAATTTTTATTAGTATTATTAATACAACGACAATTCATACGACTGATAGTTTAAAGAAATGAAGACACCCAATCGGTGGCCTTTGCCAGCGCAGACTAAGACCTAATAAGGAAATTCTATATTAGGAAAAATTAACAAAAATGGAAGGCCATCTTACTCTGCCCAACTGCTCGTGATGGGCAAGCCTATAGATGCTGGGAATGGCAGTTTCCGCCATGCTTATCAGTCTGAAATAAATAATAACAAACAATTATAATAATTATAACTTCGTGATAATTTTACTATAAAATTTAATCAAAATAAAAGTTCATATTAATAATAATTTAATGAAAACCTTCCGTCTAATTCGTAGCAATATAAAATGTTCGAATTTCCGCCAACAACGATCTAAGGTCATTTATATAAACCATAAAAAGCAATAAAAAAGGTTAGAAATAACTTTTCATTGGCAATTAAAAGTTAAATAGCCAATAAGAAAATATCTAAAAAACAAGCTTCTCATTGGTAAATAATTGTTAAATTCATAGGATTTGTTGGATTCCTATTGGTCAAATAAAATTTCCTCAAATATTTTAATGAAATTTATATTCGAAATTATATAAATTTTAGTTGTTTATGACAAAAAACAAATAGCCAATCAGAGAATTCAAAAGACGTTAAAGTGATTTTATTGGTTTATAATAAATTTTTTTGATTGGATGGTCTAAATAACATTAATAATTTATTGGTTAAAATGAATAACAGACCCACCAACCCTTAACCAATTCTTAATGGTTAATACGTTTGTATTTGCATTAGTTTATAAAATCCTTGCAACCCATGATGGCCCTCCTTAAAAGTTGTGAATATCAAGGCGCCAAAAATATACTGAATTAAACAAAAGTTGTGACTTTGCTAATTTTTACTGAATATTATATACATTTTCATAAATATAAGTTTACAAATTCATTATAAAAACATACTAAAATAATCACAATTACCCAATAATAATATTAATAGTTACGAGCGCTAATTACTTATTATTTAATAAAGAAAGAATATCAAAAATATTTATAAGAAAAACTTACTATAAAACAAAACTTTAACAAAAAAATATCAAATTTTTTACAAAAACGTTCAAGGAGAATACCGTATTTTCCACCCAACAAATACAGCGGAGGAGCACGTGAGAGCGAAGGCAAAAAGTCTGAGTCTGCGAAGGGAGATGCCACAGCACAATGTGCTTTCCACTATAAAAAAGTATAATAAACTTTTAGTGATACGAACTTATATAACTTTTTTTTTGTGAGGTAAAAGCTCTTAATATAAACTTTACTTTAAATTATTATATTTTATTATTGTGTTGAAAAAGTTATTAACGCAAATCTATTAAAACTTTATTTTGTTATGAAAAAGTTTATAATATATACTTTTCTAAATTTTTATATTTCTTTATACTATGTGTTAAAAAAGTTACTAATAAGAACTTTTCGGAACCTTTTTAAAATTTAAGAGTTCTTATTATAAACTTTTCTAAGTTTTTATACTTCTTAATTATTATGTGTTAAAAAGTTATTCATACATACTTCTTTGAAGCTTAGATATTTCTATTATTGTTATGAAAAGTTACTAATACAAACTTTTAAACTTTTTTTATATAAAAGTTATTATTATAAACTTGTATAAGTTTTTATATTTCTTATTATAATTTTGTAAAAAGTTACTAATACAAACTTTTCACAATTTTTTTTATACGTTTTTATATATATTTTTGTTGGTTTATAACATAATTATATTAAACTTATAAAAATAAAAATTATTATTAGCTAAAAACTTTTATAAAAATTTTTTTTTAGAAAGTATTTAATAATAACTGTAAAAGTTTAACTTTATAAAAAATTCCAAATACTACATAAACCCGTGATAATACAGAATTGACCAATAAAATAACAATACCTCAAAACAACCAACCATGTGGCAGAAGTATCGATGCACATATCACTGATTGGAGGAAATATTCCGCTAAAAAAAGGGCAAAATATTAGTTTTAGTTTTTTTTATAAAAAAATTAAAATAAAGTTTAAAAATTTAATTTATAATAAAAATAATCATCATACGCATAAATAGCCAAAGCTTAAAAGAAATATACTATAATTTAGAAGTAATAAATTTTACTTATTACTGTGTAAAACAAAAAAAACTAAAAAGCTAAAAAAATAAATTAATAATATTAAGTATTTAAGTAGTTATTATAAAAAAAACGCAATAGTGTAATAAAAGAAAATTGATTATTATTATTTTAATTATTATACAATTTTTTTGCTTATTTTTGGTTTATTTTCGATTATTAATAGTTAACACGTAAAAACACGTGAACATTTTTCACTCCCAAATAAAAAAATAATGTTCCGCACAAACCAGTCAAAACTCATGTTATTCCTTTCAAGGTTTATTATTTGTCAAAATACAAATTTTTTTTTATCTAGTGATATTTATTATATCAAACTTTTATTAACTTTATTAACTTTTATTACTTTTTTCAATATATAATTCATATATTTAGTATAAAAAAGAAATATGACAGTATTATTTTAAATAATAATATTTAATAATTATTATAATAACAATAAATAAATATTGAAATATAAATTAATAATAATAAATTGATAATAGTTATAACCGATAATAGATATAATAAATATTATTATATAGTTTAATTAAACAATAAATCGAAATAATAATTATAATAATAATAATAAATAAATTAAAATATAAATAAATATTAAATTAATAAGTCGATAATTGTTACATTTATCATAAATATTGAATAAAAATAAAAATAAGCCAAAGCAATTTTGATTGGTGAATATTTAAATATAAGTCATATAAGCACACGGACTGGGTAATCATTTTACTGTTTATTATATTATTTTTCTAAAAAAAAATAATTAATAAGCAAATACACATAATCGGAAATAGAGCAATTTTTTTTTAACTAAATAAAAATATATTTTTTACTTTTATTAATTCTACAAAGGTGGGAAGTATAAAAAATGTTAATAATAATAACAATAATAATATACTTCATTTCCTTAGAAAATGTTGGAACCAAAGTTGACTCACAAAAAAGGTCACACATATCTAAAAATTTATCGTTATTATTATTATTATTATTATTATTATTATTATTATTATTATTATTATTATTATTATTATTATTATTATTATTATTATTATTATTATTATTATTATTATTATTATTATTATTATTATTATTATTATTATTATTATTATTATTATTATTATAAATACTCCATATTTTAATGAAGCCTTCGCTGTCACCAGAAACAATTTTACAGTTGTTATAAAGTTCCAAACACAATACATACCCTGAAGAGTAATAATAATAATGATAATAATAATAATAGTAACAACAACAGTAATAATAACAATAAGAGTAAAAAACCGGAGTGGCCCACAAGGCTTTTTATGAACTTTTTCTCTTGAATACTAAATATGTGCACACGTGAGTCTCCGGTGGCGAGGTAGAGCAGGCCGTTCTTATATAATAATAATATTACTAACATTACTAATAATAATAATAATAATAATAATAATAATAATAATAATAATAATAATAATAATAATAATAATAATAATAATAATAATAATAATAATAATAATTGTAATAAAGTACAAAGTGGCGTATTTGGTTTATTTCAAAATTTATAGAATTTAAAGATGACGACGGAACATTTATAGTAAACTCCGGTTTAGCTTTATTAAAAATAATACTAAGAATAAATAAATAAAATAATAAGAAAAGATAACCATTTTTACTATTTAAAATTTCATTCCAGGAAAAACAGCGGAGATCAGTATCAGTACCGCTAAAGAATTTGAATAAATTTTAAAAATAATAATAGTAGTAATAGTAATAACCAAAATAAAAGATCTTCCGCTACGAGAAAATAATGAATTGCTGAAGATGAAATGTTTTCAATTACCCGAAATGGTTTAGTGTGTTCCGCACGAAGATCGTCATTTTCACTCTTTTATATGAAAAAAAAAAAGTCAAGCCGTTTAAGAAGATTTTAGCTTAATTTTATTTTAACCAAATGTAAAAAAAAATTATAAAATAAAATTTTTTAATAATAATTTTTTAAAAAATTAAGTACTATTATAAAAAAAAAATTAGCTAATAAATATATAATTTAAAAAAGTAATTTAAACTATATTAATGAGGAAGTCTTCAATTTAAAATAAATTAATAAGAACTAGAATTTAAAAAGTTTTTTCTGTATATTTAAAATTAGTAAAACAATTTATTTAGCTCAAATAAATATATAATTTAATTTCCATAATTTAAATAGTAACCAAAATATTCTAAAAAGATAATTTAATTGAAATTATATAAATACTAAAAGAACAAAAACAATACGAGCATTAATAGTGCGTTCCAAATATAAAGAGAACCAGAAATTGTCCCTGTAAATTTTATTAGTTATAAAAAAAGTAAAAAAAAAATAAGAATTTTTTTTTAACTACTTCTCCCTCCTGTATTTTTTTATAAAATTAAAAAAATAGCTAAAAAGTTAAAAGTTACTGAGAATAAATATTAGTATTAATAAACTTAAGTCAATTATTTTTTCTACAATTAGTAAGATAAATTCAGTATAAGAAAATTTACAAAGTTAGTTGTCAAGTTTTTTGTTTCTTAAAATAATTATTTAGGCATCTTCGCTTATACCTCCTATTAAGTAGTTCCCTTCAGGCGTAAAAGTCAGACTTCTAACGGAAATATACTGCTTTTTACGTTCGTTTTTTAAGTCCGTCTTTATTATAAAGAATTTATTAACTTTTATAAAAATAGTTTATACAATAAGTAAAAAAAATAAGTAACCTCATATTTTTTAATATTCCACAATAATGGATTGCTGGCATCAAGCAGAAGTTTATTATGATGATCAAAATTATGAGGAAGTTCTTTAACTGAAGGTATAAAATCCAAAGTATCAACTTGTGCTGATAAAAAAATAAAAATAAGCTTTTAAGTAACCCAGTAAAGTATTTTATAGTTTAATAATAATAAAATATATGTTTTGTAATACTGCCGGTATGTGTATGACTTTCTAAGTTCATTAACGAGACAAAAATTTTTGACAGTACAAGCAGTTTTTATTAATCTCCAGAAAGCAAGCTTTCTAGGTTTATAGTTTTAGCTGCTTTGATTATGATGGCTTAAAAGGTGAAACTTGCTTTTTTTATTTAACTTATAGACGCACTCAATATTTTATTATAAAAAAAATATACTCAGATCTGGTACAAAATTGTTATATTTAATACCCTATTTATCAAACCTTACAACTTAAAATAGTAAATAACGAAAATCAATAAACTTTTAATCTCAATTCTCAATATAAAACGTTCTTTTCCTAACTGAGGTGACTATTCTTTTACTTAATACACTATTATATGCTAGTAGAAACTGTTAGGCGCTTGCCATGATTTGCCTTACTCTCTTTTACTCTATTGTAATTTACCTAATTGCGCATTGCAAAACGGTAATTGCAAAAGTAAAATATCTTGAGTATGAATTTTGTGTTTTCAAAAACTATAAACGTCATGGAACTTTGGTAGCGATATGGATCTCTTAATCCAGAAAGGTAATAAAAATAATTTTTTAATTCTTTATTAGCAAGCTACGTCTTATACATAAAAATTTGTATGTAAAAGACTTATTCTAAACAGTTCTTCTAACAATATTGTATATAAACATTAGAACTGCTTAAAACTTTTTCAACAAGCAATGTTTTGAGATTAAAAGTCTTAAGCACTAAAATTACCGAATACGCTGTACAAAGTCCCACTGTAAAATAGATTGGTAATTAATTCTTTTACAAATGGTTTAAATTAATCGTATTTAAACTAATTAACTATAGTTAAGCGGAACATAATATCTCCTTTCCCAACTAATACTTTGCATCTTAGTAGAGTTATATATTAAGATTTTTTATAAATTGTTTATAGCTCTGAGGAAATGTTAAGGGGCAAATAACACTGACCATGAAAAGTTACTCCTCCGCAAAATCTCTCCATGATAGGTGATTGCGTTTCCCGAGTTAAAAGAGACGTACTCCACCACGATTAAGTGAACTAAGTATATGTTTTATGTGATGTAGATGAAGCCATTAAATAAAAGTTCTTAACTTTATTCAAACGTATTTATAACTGCTTTTTAGTAAAGAGTTTAAGCTATTTACCCCATCTAAAATAAATGAGCTATTCAATTTTTTAATGTTTTTGTGGTTGCTCCTCATCCTTTAGTTGGTAGTAACTACTCTCAAAGTAAATAAATGTTATAAGCAAATCTTTTAAGCGAATTACCATGTCTGTTGTACAATATTTCCACGGCCAAGATCGCAGTGCCCTCGCTTAGCTCCTAATTTTAGATAAATTTTCGCACTTTTAGTAAAAATATTTACAGTAGGATTTAATAGTAGTTAAAAAATCTTTAGTTATAAACTGCGCTGCTAGTTAAAAAATAGATTTGTGAATAAGCTTACTCCTTCCGTTAAAAAAAATATCTGCAGTCTGTATTTCCCAAAAGTAATTTCAAGTTGACAAAAACAAAAAAAAGCCCGAGAAATAAAAGGAAGTTGCGAAGACAAGACGTATGTATTAACCAGTCAGTTTGACCGTAGTTATAACCTTTTTAAAATTTTTTTTTACTCTTTACTTTCTGTATGTTGCTACATTTTGTCTCTTTCTTGTTATTTGGTTTGCTTACTTTATTAGCTACCATATATTGGTGTAAAATTATATTGCCCTGTTTCAATTAGAGGTAAATGGTTCCATTTCATGAAGTAGGGATGCTTAAAAAAGTAATTTTGATTCGATCTATAAGTTTAAAGATTCTATAAAAAGTTTATTGGTTTTAATATGATTGTACTTTATTAAAATTTTATTAGTTTAATTGTTTCTAGTTATTTAGTATTAATTTTAACTATACAAGTTAAAATTTTTAATTGTTATACTATAAAATCGTTAAAAATCTTGTTATTTTATGGTATTAAAAAGGTTGGCAAAGGTCAAAAAACTTTTTAATATTACTCTCGAAACGTTTATCTTGTATAGAATTATAATATAGACAAATTCTAGTTTTATTTGTTTTTCCACTAAAATGTTGGTGTTTTTGCTAAAGGAGACGATATATTACTAACATCAGTTAAGTGTTATAACTCGAAAAGCAAGGTTTTCGTAAACAAGAAACTAGATCAGGTCTTATCAATCTGTCAGTTATGATAGACCGTGAGGTAAGTTAATATGGTTCTGTCATTGTAATTGACTAATATTCGACTACTGTTCCTTTGTCCCCTATCCTTGACTTATTACTAAGGCTTAAATTTATTATAAACAAATTTTCGAGTTATAGCAACAGAATTTCTCTAATTATAAAGTCTTTTATACCACGCCTACCTCCCTGCTTAGGAAGGCTTCCACTCTTTTAATAAACAACAGTTACAGATGTACAATCCTTATGATACTGCTATCAATATTCTAGATAAAAACAAATAAATTTTTTGGTGTCCTGAGTCAGATGTAACACTATTACACATGTGAAGGATAATAAAATTTCCACGGGTAGCTCTTCTTTTGCAAGATATGGACACATGTTTAAAGCACGGCAGGTAGAGCTTACAACATTTTACATTGGAATAACTTGTGTTATATATTTTGTACGCTTTAATGCTGGTTACTAGCCGTCCCAATTTTTAAACCCGCACATGATTATAGTGGAACAGTTAACTAACTTAGAGTCCAAGTAAAGCACGGAGAGTTCGAATTAAGTTTAGGTACTGAGTTTGTCCTTTAATATTACAAACGATCTTCAGCTATAATAATTTCTCCCATTGGTAATGCAGTATTACCAACTCTATAATAAACTAAAAAATTTAGATCTAAGAATTTAATACGATGTTTGATTGAAATTAATATACATAAAAAATGTTTTAGAAGTTATTAAAGTTATGAGTATTTTCTAAAAAAAAATATAGACACCCTAAATATTTAGTTTTAAAGTTTCATTTATTAACTAATTTTATGTAATTATTTATTTGGTTTACCCTTACAACATTACACTCTGCGTCAGAGTTGTTTGTTAAATTATATTAACTGTTTCTTTTTTGGATCAAATCGTTGTAAAAAAGACTTTTATTGACCAAACAAGCTAGCTTAGCAATTAGAAAAACTTATTAGTAGGGCATCCCGACAACGCTGGTTGTCTTTTAAATATTCTTGGTTGTCAGCTTAAAAAATACTGCTGTTGTTGTGGTTTTCGGTGCTAAAGTGTCTTAACATGTTTGCTTAAAGCCAAACAGCTCGTTGATGACATGTTCTGCAATATTTATCTCTAACCCTAATGGTGATGAAAAGGATAATAAATTGTATCTAAAAATATTAAAAACGGAAAAGTGCTAGCTTAAATACTAATCTCACACTAGCTCAATAAATTTAAAATGTACGCATGAAGTCTATAATAAGACTTATCGAAGTAAACTTTATATTACGCCTGGCTGCAGGTTGTATACTACACAAACAAAACAAATAAAAAAGTTTTTATTGGTTACTTGCTTATAATATACATTTCTAATTGGGGGATTTTTTCTTCAAGCATGCAAATAGGGGTTTCATTTGGTTAAATAGTTGTCTTCTACGACGATTTTATACGTGTTATGTATTTGCTGTTAATTTTTACTTCTATATTTAGTTTACCATCTTATTTGAACAGAGTGAACAATTCAGGGAAGAGATATTTTTATAGTGTATTTTCTGAGCAATAAACGGGATTATAAAAGTATATAACTGGTTTAAAAAATCTTGTAAAACTATTACGGAATGTTTTCAGAAGAGCAAATTGAGGATTTTAAAGCTACTTTTTTACTTTTTGATAAGGATAATGATGGCACCATTACTTCAGAAGAACTTGGTAAAAATTAATTATTAGCCTGCTCCCACCATGAAAGTATATGAAATAAATATAATTTAAATTTAATTTAATAATTTAGGGACCGTTTTACGTTCTCTTGGTCATAACGCCACTACCGATGAACTTCAAGATATAATAAACGAAGTTGATACTGATGGAAACGGAACAATAGATTTTCCAGAGTTTATAGAAATGATGAGCAAAAAGTTGAGGGACTATGAAACTGAAGATGAAATAAGTGCAGCGTTTCGAGTATTCGACGAAGATGGGAATGGTTTGATTAGTACAGAAGAACTTCGTCATGTAATGACGGTATTAGGTAAAGTTCATAACTTTCAATCCTAGAAGTGAGTATTAATTTAAATTGCTAATTTACCACTAATTCAGGAGAGAAGTTGACGGATGATGAAATTGACGAAATTATTAAGGAGGCCGATACTAACGGTGATGGACATATTGATTATAATGAATTCGTGAAGATGATGTATTCCTATTAATTATATATTTTTTTACTTTAATTTTCTGAATTTAAGTTAAAAGATTAAATGTGTCTGTTTTAGCGACGTTTTATGTCAATACATTATCCATGTATATTATGAAATTAATAAAATCTCTACTTCCTAATTTAAGGTTGGAAGCTATTTTTTTTATTTATATACTTTTATGAAGAACGCTTTTATATATCACTATTTCAATGATTTTTTAGAGTAGAACTTATTAATTAGGCAAACAACATTGTATTATTAATAAAAGTTCTTTTTTGCTTAAGTCTCTACCATAAAAAAATTCATGTGACTTCTGTACCAGTATAAAAACTAATTCTACACTTTTTTTCACAACTAACACGGGCTCGCGATGTGTAGCAATAAAAATATTACAAAGCTTCTTATGTAGTTTTTTAACTTAAGCGTTGTAACTTTTATCACTTTATTAATGAGAACAACTTCATTAAGCGCTTAAAAAATAATATTAGAATACGTGAAAGTATTTTAGGCTTTGATAAAATATATTTTTTTTAAATGGTGTGTTACTATTAGTGTAAGCTACCTATCATGTTATACTTTTCATATTTTATACACAACTGTTTAATAAAAGATGTCAGGAGGTAATTGATAAAACACGGTTTGGTGTTAATTTTTAAAATTATAAGTTGCTATATGGAATAAAACTTTATATATTATTAATTTCACAATCATAATAATCTACCTTTAATAGGAACTTTAACGTTTCTTATACTAAAGCCTAATAGTTTGATAAAAGTTAGTTTAAACTATATAAATAATTATAGTTGCTCTACAATTTATATCTATTACCATTAGAATCACCAGTCTCACTCTATGAGACGCAATTTGGCTAATTTAAGCTATCCTGGAGATGGAATAAATTTTGCACTCTAATATATATATTTAATTAATTTTACTCGTTTGCTATAAATCTTAAAGAACTGATTAAAAAAGGATACGTATAAATCGTAGCATTTACCTTCTTAGTTCTTATTATAGAAGTTGTAAAAATATTGTTGTAAGTGTTCTGGTTGCGTAAAAGATTTAAAAACCTTTCGCTTCTTAACTGGCACACTTTTATAAGTATATTTTACCACTTTAACAGTTTATTACATTTTTTAGTTAATGTATACTTTATTTAAATAAAAATTTTAATATATGACAAAATAAAAGGCTTAGTTATCTCAACTTCGTGGTAGATAGCCCCCAATAACAGAGGTATATTAAAATTAAAAGTTTAAGTATATAATAAGCTAAGTAGGCTCTAAAATATCGGCTAAACACTGTTACTAGAATAAAATTCTTTTTTTTTCCTTTAATTATATTGTATATAGCCTCATCCTTATGATATTATAAAGTTAAGCAAAAGAGTCTAGATATTAATAAGTAGCTATTTTTTAAATTTTTTTATAGCTTAATTCGGTTTTCGCCTCTTTAAAGGTAAGCTTTAAAAGATATCGAATCCGAAAAAGAGACTAATTTTCTAAAACTAATTAGGTCAGAATGGCTATACATATGCTAGCGCATAACCTATTGCCACAATATTGATATTGGTTCCCTTCTTTAGACAGGCGAAATTAGAGAAAAATTAGACTGTTTAAAAGGCATTTTACCCCCTAAATAATTTTACGGCAGAAAGTTTTATCTAAATTTTTTATAAGCTATGCCCACATCCTTTAAAAATTTTATGATTGAGCTGAGTGTTAAAAACGCCGCACGAAACAACTTGAAACAAAAGACCCTTAAGGGAGACTTGTACAGTAAGAAATCCATAATATTTAAATTTTATTAAGGTAAAACAAAAATTTACTGTCCTTTTAAGCCCTTATGTTTGTTTAGTTTAAAAATTTATAAACTTGAGGCAATGACTAACACAACCATCTATTACATAGGGCAATGCAAATGTAGGCACGCACCAGGCGGCCGACGCCAGTTTCATATTATTAGAGTAGTGTTTTATTGACTAGTTAAGTCTCGTGAAAATAAGCCTTTGAGGACTACCTAAAAAGTCATTAGGGTTAACGACTCCAGCTAAAACTCTCGATGTAGAGTAACCGGTTAAAAAGGTAAAACTATCATAACTGGATTGAGAGTTGTTGTCGTGGCTTGGATTAAGAACATTGGCGTATCTACTCAAGGCCGCCTCTTAAGATTCTAATACAGAGCATCGCCAAGCACAAACCACGGCGCCCTATGGCACTTGAGGCGAAGACCCTCTGGTTGGCGAGCTTTTACCCACCTGGTAAATGTGTATGTCATGATAAATTGAATTACATGACGACATACCTTCAAGCGTCGAAAGTAACCCCTTAAAAATCGACGCCAGTAGGAAAGTGCGTTTAGATACAGTTTCCTGCTAAGTAGGTTTGAAAAACTTAGAGATGGTAAGTCGCCATATTATCTGCGCAGAGGGTGGCAAAGGACCAAAGGCACCTCCGCAAACAGAACTCGGAGGAAAGGGTGCGGAACGCACATCTCTAGAGGCCTTAAGGAAATACATGCTATAAAAGACAGCCGTTAAAGTAGAGATTAAGCACATCGTAAAGACCCGCGGGAAGGATAGCAAGGAGGATGGTGTTTGACGCCTTATAATAATAAAACTTAAGAGCCGTCCACCCTGTCAGACGGGGGGCAGATAGCGTGAAGGTTATACTACTCTCGTTTATCTGTTAAGAATGCTTTAAGAAAACTTAACAATGATCCCATACATATATAAAAAAAATGTTTTAACGTTTTTTGGTAACCTCACCCTTAAGAATTTAACATTGTAACATTACGCTTTACTCATTCTTTATGTTCTCGTGGTTACTTACTTAAACGTTTTAGTTGTATCCAAAAACACTTTTTTTTATGATTTACATAATCGTTGTTTAAGTCAAGATGCATAGGCAGAGTTACAATTCCTCTGGTATTCTCGCAAGAAATAAGTTTTACTTTTGGTTCTTAAATGAGCAGTATATCGAAATTTGTGTATGTATATATATAAAGGTATATTAAATGTAAGGGTTAGAATATAGCTATGGATATTATGTGTATAAACAAGTAAGATCATGTAGAAAATATATAAAACACAAGATATATAAAAAATATTTAAAGCAAAGAACACTTATAGACCGGTTTTCGTCTGTATTTAAACTTTCTCAATAGGTCAAAAAATGCTTTCGTAATTGTAATAGAAATTTAACTGTACCAGAGATTGGTTTCTATAAAATTTTACTCGTTATTTGGTTCCTAATTGATTTCACGAATTCTATCAATTCGTCACAAATTTTATGAGCAACCCAAAAAAGAATTTCAAGGGTCGGTATGCTTAAAAAGTTTTGGTGAAGTAAATGTGTGTCAAATTATTTTGTATGCGGAAATAAGTTAATTTCTCTGTTCTTGTAATTTTATTGGTGGTTTCACAGGTAGTTGATTGGTTTACTTACGGATCATTTTTCCTGTAAAAATTTAGGTGTTTGTGTTTTGTGTTGGTATGCTCTGTGTATTTTGTTTTATGACTAGTATTTTATACTTGATGTATTATATTATTTATATTCGTGTTCAATGTCTTGTGTTTCCCGTTTTTGAAGAAAAAGTTTGCTTTTTTGCGAAGTTCTAAATAAAAACTAGTTAGTCAACTCAATCTTAGGCAAAGGTTATAATGACATCCTGATTTAACAACTTTTTATACTAAGACACGCAAATTTAGAGGCCGATCTATAAAATTAAAAACTTGTATCTTTTTATCTGTTTAAAAGTGCTTTATTTAGCTAATTAGTGTTTAATATTCGCAGTGGGCTACACAGTTATTTATTTTTTTATTAGCTTGTTTTCGTTCATTAACGCTCTCGATCTACGAAGTTTTTATATTTACCACGGATATATACTTGAAAAGTCTTTGTTACACCCACGTGCTGTCCAAAAAATTATTTTTTTTAGTTAAGATAATAAAATTTATCATATATAAAAAAAGAAAATTTAATATTTTCCTGTCTTCCATACTGACTTTGCTCTCCAATATTGGCGGGTCTTGCTACCTTGACATAATTAACACTTTAATTTCAAGTAAAGGTGTATGTTAATAAAAACATAAGAGATAAAAAAAAAATTGCAAAAAGGTAGTTTACTAAGGTGCTGAAGTTGATCTCACTTCAAGAATTAAACAATGAGCTTTATAACAGTATAGCATTACTAAGTTGAATAGGTAATTTTAAGATGTTTTCGTATATCTCTACACGTTTTTACGTCTAAGGACGGCAGTAAAGGCCCCTTTAGCGAAGCTCTTATATGCGGTCTTTCCGTTTTTAAACTTCATATACAAACAAAAATGTCTACTTTTATTTTTAGTCTGTAATCATAAGAGTTAAACTTTAAACTCAACAGGGTGAAGGACCAATTCGTTATAAGAGATTTAAACCCTTTAACGATATTTTTAACCACGAATTAGTATTACGCTTGTTGCAATACAAGCAAATTGGAGTCGTTTATATTAACTTTCCTTTTCTACGCATAAGATTGTCTCTTAGTTTTTACCCTTAACTTATTTAAATAAGTTTCAGATAAAGGGTTAATAATTCGAGTTCTCTCTCAACAGACTTGTATTTGCAGAAAATGCAAAAGATCGCACTTAAATAACGTCAATTTTAACTTAAAATTCAAAAGTTCTTATGCTGCCACAGCTTTATAATAGATATCTACATATTTCTAGGCATAAAGATAAAGAAATTAAATAATATTTGATATTTACTTAAGAATTTCTTCAAGGCCACTAAATTCTTCGAAGAAAGCAGTAAATAAGTTAATTGCGTTAGTGATATCATCCAAACCACACATTTCTCTTATTGAGTGCATGCTCAGCTGCGGGTTCCTTTATTAAAAAAAAATTATATTAAATAAAGTTTAGTTGCACAACGTTTATAAACCATTAGTTATAAATTTTATGTTATTTACCGTTAGCTACTACGCAGAACTTTTTATAAATAAACCTTGAATAAAAATATTTAATAGTAATTAGGACAGTAAAATATACTCTTATGTGAACTGTTCGTTTGTGTAACCTTTAAGATAATGTACTTCTATGTAGATGCTTTATTTTACCCGATATCTACTGTTCTGATTCCAAGGTTTGTAGCTAGAATTGGACCAATAGTACTTCCACACGGGGAGTCATTTCTTACGCAAAAATCCTTTAAACATTATTATAAATATTTTTAACAAGCAAAAATAAAATAGTTGAATAAAATATTTAAACTTTGCAAGAAAAAAGGTTTATAATAGCCCCAAAAATAAAAACCGTTTATTATTTTGTTTACAATATATTCTGCCTATGAAGTAAGCAAAATTAATAATAATAAAAAAAGAATTAGCACAATTTTTAAACTTAGCGGTATACTTGTTTATAAAGCTCGCGGGACAGGAGCCCAAAAAAAAGGCCTCCATCTATATGCGGAAAATCACTTGATTTATGTATTTTTTTAAATAAATTTAAATAAATTTATTCTATTTCATTAATAAACCAGTGAAAACCACTGATCAACTACAAAACAAGTGACTAATGTTTTCCTATATCATAATTTTCGTTTTACAGGTTTAAAACCGAAAACTAAATGCATTTTTAGCCAATGAAGTAATATATTGTAGATTGAATATGCTATAACCAAAATTTGATGGTATTTATTTACAATTTAAAACCAATAAAAGCAAATCATCTTTATATGGGACTACTGTTACTTTTTTTGTTCTCCTTTATAAAAAATAGAAGTAGTTTACGTAGGGTAAAAAAAAAAATTAATAAGAACAATGTTGAGTAAAAAATTTGCTTCCTTCACTTAAATTTTTTAATAGTTTTAATAGTGTTTACTTAAAGTTCACTTAAAAAAAGGTATTAACCAATTACTGGTTCACATATGTTTTTTCTGTATCATAATGATAACATTTATAGCTTTCAATTCCCACGAAGAGCATTCGAGCGCTACTTACTCGGTCACGTGGCACAGGCAAAGTGCCCTCAAGTGAGCAACCCTCATGTTTATAATATAAAATTTATTCTTATCACTGATTTTCACAGTAAAAGAAGAAACAAAATTCGAACTGACCTAAAAGAAAATGTTTTACTAACTTTTAAAAAAATGAGTGCAAAACGTAGACGGTATAAACCCTTTATGATTAAATGATGCTATTGTGGGCTTTCTGAATGGCTCAAAATCTAAACCGTGAAACTACATTGGCTATTCTAACTTTCAATTATGATATATGTAAATTCCGAATGCTGTTTGCTTACGAGATTAGCCACGTTCGCCTGAAAATCAACGACATTTTATATAACTTCGTACATTAAAAACTTTTTAAATGCAGTAAAAAAAATTCTCTTCGTTGACTCATGCTGCCAGTTATAAACAACAAGGAAAAATAAGTCACTCATAGGTTTTTTTATAACTGGATTATATATTATTATAAATTGTGCCACTGTAATGAAATCTTCCCAAATTTTTTTTTAATGATGATTAAACCAATGTACGCATATTTTATCACACCAATGAGCTCTTATTAATATTTTTAATATAAAAATTTATGAGTAGGGATTATACATTATTAAAAGAAAGTACTAAACCACGCTATTTAATAAGATTAATCTAAGAAAAATAAAATAATTATACCTGAATTGTAATGTTCCGTTTATGCGCAATATTTCTAATAAGCGCCGCTGTCTCTGCAGTGGTTGCATAGCGTTGATTCGAATTGAATTTTATGACAGGACCGTGATGGAGAAGAGGCTGATGATTGGCTTCATGGGCTTCCGGATGTTGGGGATGAAGCTTTCAATAAAAAAAAGAATAATAAAAAAGAAAAAATGACGAAGTTTAAGTACTTAATAATAAAGAAAGCAAAAATTAATATATTGAAAAGTAATAAAAAAAATGATTATAATAAGTAAAAATTATTATAATAGTATAATAAAAAATGCTGAAACGCGTGGGAAAAATATACTAATATACGTATATAAAAGCTTTCCTAACTACCAAACAACTATTACATACAAAGAAGCTACAATTAGATCAGAAGTAAAAAAATAAAGACTTTTTTTGTAAAAATTCTAAGAAATATATAGTAATAGATTGTTGTATATTTTTTATGCAAAACGGGAGTATTGCTTAACGTGTAGTGACTTGCAGCATGGGAAATAAATAAAAACGTATTAAAAAAACTTATCATAAAAAATAAATTAAATATTTTAATTTATTCAAAGTGAAAATAATATTCACAAAATTATTTTACACCCAAAAGTTGGAATATTTCAATTTCCTTTTAAAACTTTTTTTATTATAAATATTTGTAACTTATAAAAAGACGGGAAAAACATGCTACCCAATATAAATTAAATAGCCTTAAAAATAATGAAAAGCAAAGAACCCAAAAAATGGGCATAACCATCTTTTATTTGTTTAAAAACTTCATTCAAGGTAGTGAAAATGCTCAATAAAATTTATAATATTCAAAAAAATCGTAAAATTTGTAATAATAATAACAATTGAAGTGGAAAAAAGACTATAAACTTAAAAACCAATAGGAAGGCTTCCATTTACTTCCACTCCAATGCGTGACAATTATTGTGCACATTATTTTGTTATAGCGAGAGCAATTTTTGGCTCAATAATAACTAATTTGGTAATTTATGATTTTCATTGCACCACAGTAAAGCACATTATTATAATAATAATTATAAATAAATTTCTTAAATATTTATGTATAATTTTTTATAATTCACTATAATTCGTGAAAACATATAAAGTAAAAATTTTTGATCAATAATAAAATATTAAAAGAACTGAAAAAATAATTAAAATTAAAAAATACTACAAAATTTCATGATTTCGTTCAACGAGACAATAAAATTACCGCGTAGCCTTTAAGAACCAAAAACTCAAAATATAGAGTGAAAATTTTATATTTGCAAAAGAGCTTACAGCGTGGGCCATATCCGCACTGAGTAGAAAAGAGCGCGCAATCGACATCCCCAACTTTTGGAAGGAAATAGAAGAAAAAAATTATTTAAGGGTTAACATATAGAATTAAAGTTTCACTACTTCTTCTGAATTCAAAAATCCTCCAATACGATTAATTGTTTGTTGTAAAAAGTTGGAGGCAGCGCCGTACGCTATTAAAAAATGTATTATAAATAAAAGCGGGACTTTTACAAATTAAAAAAGTAATTATAAATGTTTTATTAAAATCAGTAGATTCATAATAATAGATAATAAAAGGATTGTGCAGAAATACATATAAATATTATAGTTCCATTGGAAATTATTAATACATTTCAAGAAGAGTAAATAATAGTGGACATCACTATAAAATTAAAAAGTTAAGAGGAAGCATAAAAATAATTTCATTAAAAAATAATATTCTATCTAATAATTAATAATTATAAACATGTTTACTATATAAATTGAATGGTAAAAGGATATAAGAAAAGATATAGTTTTATTGGTAATTATTATAATAAAATATTCACTAAAAATAATTAATAAAATTCACTAATTTAATTGGTCTAAGAAAACTATACCCCAATAACTAATAATAAACCAATCAAATTCTTTATTATTACCTCTTAGGCAATAATAATAACCTATATTTTTCGGAATCGAGTAGTACCAATACAAAATTTTTTAAAAAAAAGTTCTAAAATTACAGCTAATATTAATCACCTGAATTTGATCCGATTTCCTATTCAGGAAAGATTGCCATATTAATACCAATAAAAATAATGATATAAATATAAGAAAGTCTTGAAAAATAAAGAATGAAAAAAGAATAAATAAAAATAATGGGAAAAAAATATTTTTCATGAAAAAGTATATAAAATAAAGTAAATTTCATAAAACATTTAAGAAAATTGAAGACTTTAATAGAAAGAAAATGTATTAAAAGCCAAGTTGTCATATTAGTACAATAACAATAATGAAATAAAGATAAGAAAGTCTTAACAATTATAGAATAAAAAAATAGGAAATAAAAATAATGAATAAATTTTTTTTAAAAATAATTATATAAAGCAAGTCGTTTGTATAAAATTAAAAGTAAAAGTAAATTTCATTAGAAAAATTAAAATTAACGAATGAAGTTTAAAAATAGCAGAAATTGAAAAAAAAATAATAATTTCTAAAAATAAAAAAGAATTTTTTTAAATATAAATAATAAATCTTTATTCTAAAAAAGTAAAGTTGTTGGGACTTTGGAAAAAAAATTAATGATATTCAGCAGACACGAGACAAAAAGAATATATATTTTCTATATTTTTGTCAATAGAATTAAAAATTAAACAAAAGAATAATAACGATAAAATATAAAAATACTTTCATAAAAAAATATGGCATTATTATTTTTTTAAAAAAAATTATAAGAAAAGTTAATACTAATAAAAAAATAAACTAAATATTATTTTAAAAAAAAAAAGTTTAACAAAAAAAAAAAGTTAATAGTCATAAAAAATATTACATTTATTTTTCCTTTAAAAAAAAGTTATTAATAATAATATTAACAGTTTCATAAGGAAAAAAAATTATGAAAACAAAAAAATATATAAATAAGTTAACGATCTTAAAATTTTTTAGAAAAAAATTAAGGAAAACAAAGTAAATTTACTAAAAGGTTAATAATATAAACATTTTCATTAAAAAAAGTATATATAATTTTTTTTTATAAAGTTTAAAGCAAAAAAAAATAATTAAAAAAGTTAATAATAATGTTAACATTTTCATAAAAACAAGCACACAAAATTTTTTAAAATGTAAAAAAAAATAAAGTTAATATTAATATTAACTTGTTTATATAAAAAAAGTTTAAAAAAAAAGAAAAAGAAAGAATAATAATAATATTAACATTTTCATAGGAAAAAAGAATATATATATTTTTAAAAAAATTTAAAGTAGACAAATAAAATTAACAAGAAAGTAATAAAAATACAAACATTTTTCATAAAAAAAATTTAAAGATAACGAAAAAATAAAAAAAAAAGTTTAATAATTATAATATTAACATTTTAATGAAAAAAGTAAATATTATTTTAAAGAAAATATAAAGAAAACAATATATATATATATATAAAAGTAGGCGAGGTCACAAGACTGCGATAATTGTTCTTATATCCACAGCGCACCAAGTGACAAAAACTAAAACCCCCAAAGCCCACGAGATTTTCTTAAGAAGGGTTAAAAAAAGAGGTATTGTAGCTCTTTCAGCATTCATTAATAATATTGAAATCATCATAAAGAAAAAAAAATTATTTATTTTTACGTTTTTACTAAATTTTATTAAAAGTAATTATATTTTATTATATTTTATGAAATTGTTAATAATATTATCTTTTTATAAATTTTTTCTGTTTTTCACTAAATTTTATTCAAAAATAGTAAATAATGTTTACAATAATATTAATATTTTCCTGCAAAAAGTAAATATTGTTAAAAAAATTGATGAGATTGAAGTCTTCATAAAAAAGTAAATATTGTTATTTTTAAAAAAATTGAAAAGTTAATAATAGTAATATTAAAATTTTCATTGAAAAAAGTAAATATTTTTTTTTGGAAAAATAAGGAAAACAAAAGAGGTTAATAAGAAAATTAACAATAAAAATATTTACATCTTACTATAAAAAATTCAATATTATTATATTTATAAAAAAGTTTAAAGAAAACAAAAAAAGTAATAATTAAAACATTAGTAAACATTTTTTTCCTGAAAAAGTTAGGAACACAAAAAGTAAAATGAAAAAGTTTATATAAATAGTAATATTTATTAATTTTTTTTCTAAAAAGTTGTATAAAAAATTGTAACCAGAAATAAAAAAAAATTATTTTGAGAAATTATTAATTAAACTTTTTAACCAAAAAGAAAGTAGAAAGTAAATTATATAATAATAAAGATTATTACAATTTTTTTTATTATAAATAAAATTAAACTATAAAAATATATATATAAAAATAACTAATAAATATTTATTCATAAAAATTATTATAAATAACTTATAATGAATATAAAAATTAATAAATTCATAACTATTACTATCAATAAAAGAATTGTGTAAATACAATTTTTTAGCAAGAAAAATAATAAATAAAAATAGGAATGCCAAAAAAATAAAAAAGCTTTAGTGAATAATGAAAAGTAACAAATAGAAAAGTTTGTATATAAAAAATAATAAAACTAAATTACAATAATATATTTAATAAAAAGTGTAACGAAAAAGATAATAAAATCAAAACGTCATAAGCGAATAAAAAATTTATTCGTTACATGAAATATAGTGGAGTATATATATTAAATAAATAAATAAAAGTTAAGAATAAGACTTTGGAAATAGAATGGAACATTATTGTAAATAAATAAAAAAATTCAAATAAAAGTAAAAAATATAAAAATAACATCATAATTTTAATGAAATTTTACAAGAATATTAAAAAAAATGCAGTAAAAATAATAACAAAAGTAAGTGTTTAAGAAATTTTTATAAAAAAATTTCAAAACTTTATAAACAGTAAGAGAAAGACATGAAAAATAATGAACAATAAAAAAAATAACGAAACTTCGTTATCAAAAAGCGCAAGTAAATAAACATTAGACTCGTTTTTTAAATTTTCTTCTCGAGAAGCATTAAGTAAAGCCTAAAAAGAAGTTTTATTATATAATTAAAAATAAATATAGAAACAATAAAAAGAAAAATATTAAAAAGTAATAAAGTAATAAAAATTATTGTACTTAAAATGTTACAAATAACAAATAAATTATAAAAAGTAAAAATATTTTATATGGAATATAAAAAAATATTTATATTCCAATTTAATATAAAAATAATAATAACAACAATATTTCACAGATATATTTTAAATAAAAAATATAAAAATGGTAAATACGTAAAATAAGAAATACAATTTAAAGAAAAAAGGTTTCATAATTATATAAAAAAACACAATTTAAATAATAATAAACAAATATTTTAAAAAAAATTTCATTATTAATAATAATGAATAAGTATGTAGTACAAATAAAAATATATATAAAAAATACTCACGAAAAAGTCATGCTTATTAGTATTAAAAATATATTAGCCAATAAAAAATAATATAAAACTATATAAAAAAATATAAACCAGTAAAATATATATAAAGAAACGCATAATAATACTAAAAAAATTTCATTAAAAGAAGAAAAATAATACATTAAAAATAATGAGAAAAATATCAAGTTGCACATTTTTAATAAAAAATAATAATTAATAAATAAAAATTATAAAGTTAATTTTATTTACAAAATAAATACAATAAATGTATTTTTTAAAGTTTTTATAATAAAATTTATTAAAAAGAAATATAAAAAAAACAAATAAAGAATAAAAAATTATAAAATTTTAATAATAAAAAAATTATATAAAAATATATTAACAAAAATATAATAAAAAAAATTATAAACAAAAAGTATTATGAAAAAAATTAATTTCAAGTTCTAAAATACCGAACAAAACAAAAAAAAAAGGTAGTAACAAATAAAAGTGATAAGCATTAAAAAAATGAAGACCTTTAAAGAGGTATAACAACCAGTAAGATTATCGAGACGAGCTGAAAATATAAATTCATCTTTAAGGCCACCAATTGTAGCGGGTTGATGATCAGCGAGACAAAGTTCAAAGTCGAGAATATTCTCCACTACATAAAAATTCGGGAAACATTTTTAAAAAAATATAATATAAAAATTTTATATTTTATTACATTTATTAAATGTTTAGAATTTCACTTAATATTAATAAAAAAATAATATAAATATAATAAACTATTTAATAAAAAAATTATCTTTAAATAAATTTATAAAAAAAAGTATAAATATATAAAAGACTGTTACATGTAAATAATAAAGAATACATATAATATATAAAATAGTAAACACAAAAATATAATTAATGGAAATGGTAATATAAATATAAATCAATATAAATAAAAACATAAAAATTCGGGAAACTTTTAAGAAATAATGAATGGTCTATAAAATAAAACTAATATATTATAAGATTTTTTTTTAATTAGTTAAAAAAAAATTACGAAAAAGATAATATTCTTTACTACATAGAATTCATGACACTTAAAAAAAAAGTTAATTAGTAAATAAAAAATTATTTTATTATACATATTTCAAACTTTTTAAAATTGTATAATAAATGAAAAAATATTCTTTACTACAAAAAAAATTCGAGAAAAAAAGCTTTTATTATAACATGTTTTCAAAAGTTGGAAAACATAGAAGAAAAAAATATATAATATTCTTCACTACATAAAAAAATTTAAAAAACTTTTAATAGGAAAAAAAATATATTTTAATTACCTTTTTTAACAAGTTAATATATTTATAAGAAAGAATAAATAATTATATATTTTATTGTTTTTTTTTAAAAGTTAAAGAAAATATAAAAATTTTTTAAATATGATAATATATTAAAGTTAATCTTTTATTACAGTTTTTAAAAGTCAGGTGAAATAGAGAAGAAAAAATATATGAAGATAGAAAAAGTTTTTTGTATTAATTATTTTTTTATTTTTCTTATGATCTAATAATATTATATATATATTGTCTTAATAAAAGTATATATAATACAAAATTTATGGTTGTAGAAAATAATTGTTGGGCTGAAATATTATAATATATTCATTAATTTATTACTCTCCATTCAGCGTCATCCAATAAGCTCTCATGTTGAGCTAAAAGTTTATATTGGTGGGATGTATAATTTTTTTTTTTTAAATTTTTTATAAAAGTCATTAATTTTTTTTAAAGTTTTTTCAAGCCAACAATAATAATTACTTTTGGGGTAAAGAAAAAAAAAGTCGACTTTTCTCACTAAAAATAAAACAGACTCCCCAAAAGATTATTAACGTTGAAGAGGCGCGAAAAAAAATACACAACATATTAAGAATGCGCACGAATCAACGGCTTCCGTTGATATATTGTTACTATAAAATTTCACCCCAACAAAGTGCAAAATTGTTATAGCAAAGTGCTTGGAGACATTTTTTTAATAAATTTTGGAAAACTTTATAAACAGCGAATTTAGTGGAGCTCTTATGAACTAAAATACCAATAGAATATTAAGAAAATATACTGCAGCCACCAAAAAAGTTACTCATGTAAAAACATTGCTTTAAAAAAAATTTTAATGACGGCAAGGGCACGTGTTAGATGCGATTTTTAATACGAGTTTACCTCCAAAAATATGTATATATAATGGAGCTTCCTTAACAAGGTTATAAAGTTTAAAAAGATCGTGCGGGTACACGTGCTGAGCAACTCTAAGAAATTTAGTTTTCACGTGTAAAATTTATTAAAATTATTCATTATAATAAACAAAATAGAAAAAAATGATTGGACTATTAAATATTGCTCAAATTTTTTATGAAAACAAAAAAATATATATAAATTATAATAAAAACCAAAAAAAATAATTATAATAAAAAAGTTTTAAGGTTTAGTAATAAAAAATATAAATATAAAAATGTTTCTAATAATAAAGTTATTATTATATAATATATAAACATAAAATATTATAAAAGTTTTATATATAAAAAAAATAAGAAATAGAATAAGAATTATTATTGAGTAAATAAAAATATATTAATACAAATAACTTTATTAATAGTTTTATATATAACAAAGTTTATATTATAAAAAATATATAAATAGAAACCGTCACAGTTTAGAGCCTCGGCAATGCAGGAAAGGAGCGTTGCAGAATGTTTAAAGTTCTATTAAAAATAGTTATAAAAGTAAAAAAAATAATGAAAAAATTAACATAATATAAATAAAAAAGAAAATAATAGTAGTAGAAGAAAGTATAATAATGATAATAAAACGATAATAAAATAAAAAAATATAATAAATAATATAAAAACAAAATAAAAAATGATTATTTAAAAAATAATAAGAAAAATATAAAATTATACTAAAAAATAATAAGTAAAACAAAAAATATTAATTTAAATAAAAATAATATATATAATAAATAAAATATAATAAAAAAAATTATACTAAGTAATGAATAAAATTAAAGATATTTTAATAAAATGATATTATAACATAATAAACATAAAATAAATATAACTTTATGTATGACAATAATTATATTAAAAAAATTAAAATGAAAATAAAAAAAAAATAAAGCAAATCATAAAAAAAAATAAAAAATAATAATTAACACTAAAAATATCAAAAACTTTCAAAATATTAAAACTTTTTAGTATAAATTTTAATAATAAGTTTTCTCTATACAATGTTAACTATTTATATTATTACTAATAATTTTAATTAGTATTATTATTTGTAATTAAAATTTACCTTATTGTTTTTTTATTATATATTATATTCTTTTATTTTCATTTTTGTCATCGCGGCCATCCTAGGCATAAACTAGCTAATAAACTATTCATAAAAAGTGCCTGTACTGTACAAATACTATTACATACATATAGTACAAGCACTATTATTCACCCGCGCCATCCGGATCAAGAAACGATCCGAATGCATAAAAAAAGTTTATATATAATATCACTACGTTTTTTTTTAATAATAAAACTTTTCCTGGTTAATAATATTAAGTAAAAAAATATTAATAAAATAATAAAGTTAATCCTTTTTCTTATAAAAATTTTATATTTTTTACTGATTTTATTATTTTGTGTTTGTATAAAAAAGTGTATTATTAGTAATAATAAATAAAACTTTTAAGTAAGATAATAATAATTAGTAAAAGTAATAAAAAATAATATCTTACAATATTCGTTCTTGTAACATTTATTACATTTACTATTTATATTATTATTTTATTATTCTGTATACTGAGAATTTACCTGCTGATAACTTTTTGATAATTCTTCTTGAGGAAGAAGATCTTTATTATCTCCGCTGTAGATAAAAAGTTTTACATATATTAAACTATAAATAAAAAAGTAAAAGTTTATAAAATATAAAAATATAAAAGAGGAAAAGTATAAAAAAAAAAAAGAAAAAACTATAAAAAAAAAGGTTAGTAAAAAAAAGTTATATAAGTAAAAATATTCAGATATAAAATAGAAACAGTTAAAAAAATAGTAAAATATAAATAAAAAAAGAAAAAACCTAAAAAGATATAAAAATCATTAATTATTAGTTGTAAAAAGCAAAAACTTTATAAACTAAATAAAAATTTTAGGGCTCATTATTTTAATGTGCGTCACGCTTTTACCAAAAAATACAGGACGATATAATTTTTTGGTACTAAAAAATAATTCATTTCAGTAAAATTAGTGTTTTGTGTAGTTCAAGATTTTAAGGGAAAATAACGAATATTGTTTTTTGTTAATATACTCCAAAGCATAAATCTATAAATTTTTATATAATATTATTAAGCTTGCACGTTTTTTATATTCATTAAAAATAATGTAAATATAAAAGTTTTTTTTGTAAGATTTTAATAATTTATTTGTAAAAGTTTCAAAAGTTCCTATGTTGGGTATACAATAACTATTCTGATTGGTATAAGATTTCTATTCTACAAGATAATTGTTAAGTATAAATCATTAAAAAAAGTGGATATTTATAACGCATTCATGATTTTTTAATTAAATTAATAATTTTTTTTGCTTATTTGTTTGCGTTTGCACTTCTTATTAATATTAAATAATTATTTCTTTATATATAAATTTTACATGTAAAAAAGCTTTCATTGGTAATTTGTAATGATATAATAAGCATAATTTTTTTTTTCTATTGCTTATTTAGTAAACTTGAAGCCCTACACTATAAAATTATTGTCCTTAGAAAAGTTTATTGTGAGGGATTGGTGATTTCAATGAAGTCATCCTTATTAATTTTATTGGTTGTTATTTGAGCAAAAATAGTCAACTTGTGCATTTATTTAATAATTACTTATTTGTTTCATTAAAAGTATTACAACTTTTAAATTCAGTTGGTGTATTTATACGGTCATTTGGTATTGGTGCGTACAAAGTTATATTTTTTGCAATTCATATAAGAAAAATTTTAAGGTAATTTTTTGATATATTTTACTTCATTAAAAGTTTTTAATGATCTTTTCTGCATACCATAACCGTAATGAATAAAAATACATAAAATTTCTAAAACTTTTAATTTACTGGCAGATAATTTTTTTTTTACGTGTCATTATTTTTGATGTTAAAGCGTTCATTATAAAACAAAATATTTATAAAACTTTCATTAGTTTTGCTGCTGTAATAGCGAAAGTTTACGATTGGTTATTATAAAAACCTTCTATCAGTAAATTTATATATTTGCAATGTTCAATAATTTTAATGATGCATGTTTTTTATGAGGTCAATATTTGTAGAAATATATGTTTAATGCATTTCATAAATATTATAAATGTTAATTACTTAATTTGTAAAAAAGTTAACAGTGATTAAATAACTTTTAAGCAATACATCATTCTCAAAAAAAAAGAAGAACGCCATTGGTCAATACAATAAGCAAGTAAAATTTTAGTGAATATACATTTAATTTTTTACAATTAACTTTTTAACAAATAAATGTTTATATATACTAATAAACTTAGCTAATATACCAATGAAAAACTAAATACGCCTAATTAACTTTTTTTTAAAAAACTGTTTAACAAAAAAATAGAGAATTCTTCATAAATATATATTAGCCAATAGAAAAACCATTTATAAGAAGTTCCAAAAATGGGAATAATATGATTTTCAAGGTTGAATTTAAATCCATCCTAATCATAAAAAAATATGACTAATCAGAAAAATCCTTCACTAAAAATTTTTTAATTAGAAAATTGCAAAAAATTTAATGAAAAAAAATTTTTTTCACTAAAGTTTTCTATTATTAAAAATATTGAAAAAAATAATTTTCACTAAATTTCTTTCTTATAATTATTTTTCCATATAATTTACGATTAGAAAATAAATAAATATTATTATAAGTATAAAAAACTTGAGTTTTTTAATAACAATATTGCAAAAAGTTTTATAAGTAAAAAATAATAATATTCTCACTAAAGTTTAATATAATAATAAATGTTGCAAAAATTTTCACTAAATTTTTTTCTATCGATAATTATATTTCAAAAAGTTTTATGCGTGGAAAATATTAACAAAAATAAACAACTTTCACTAAAGTTTTCTATTATTAATAGTATTATTAAATATTATCATTATATTTTATTCTATTAATAATTATAGTTAAAAAAGTTTTATGCGTAAAAAATATAAAGAAAATATAAAATTATAAAAAATCCTTTAATAGCAGTTAATAATAACTTTAAGTTATTGGGAAGTTCATGAAAAAAATTATTGAGTTTAAAAATATACAAAAACTTATTTTATAAATTCATTAGTATATTTAAAAAAATTATAAAAAACGTTTAATATAAAAATATACAAATAATCTAAACTTTTACTTATAAATACTAATAATAACAATATAAAATATTCATTAAAAAAGAAAACTTTATAATGGTAATAAAAACGGAAATGACCTGATTAACGCTGCGCTGCATATGAATAGCGAGAGTAGGAATTCGAAAAACCGGTCGGTCGATATGGACAAGTGCTTGTCGGATGGACCAAGAACTGCCCTCGCACATAACCCTTCCGGCCACCTAGAGCAGATTAAACAGTCAGTGCGTTGTGACACGTGAGTAGTATAAAGGAGGTGGTCAGGCGATACTTATAGGGGCCTTTTATATAAAAAAGGTTAAGTGCAATATACTACATATATAGAAATCACGAGGCTCATGTTTACCACGTGGATTGAAGAAAAGATGTAATGCGACAAATATACAAAATCCATGTGACTAATACCAGTCATTTGACTTTCCCGGAAAAAATATATATACTGTCGTTTCCTTTCCGATTCAAACACGTGACACATAACTGCTTACGTTATCACTCACTTACTAAATTTGCACACGTGTCCTGCTAATAACGCGCCATATGACTACTCTTCACGTGCTTGCTCACAAGTTCTAGACGTTTAAACCACGTGATCTTCTCTAGCACGTGGAAAGCGAGGGCCTTACACATGTTTCTGTCAGCTACCAAATGCATAATATAGTCGCCTTTTTAGACAATTTGACACAATATATATGCAACAGAACGGCACGGTCAGTCGACTTTGTAATAATTGAAAGAGGAAACCTATAGAATGGCGCTAAAATTATATGAATAGCATAGTATTAGCATATTCCTGTTGATTCGCCGGTGAATAATGGTGCTTGTAGTATATGTATGCGATAGGTACTCTTAGAAAAGAGAACTATTTACTAGTATATTATATATATACTACGGCGAGCCCCACTAAAAAAAATTCAAAAAAATGAGGGGCTGCACTGATAAAAGCGTCTCCTTAAAATCGTTGTAACTATAAAAAAGTGGCAGTGAAAAAAAAATAATGAAGCACAAATAGAAACCAATAGGCTAAAGTAACTCCGTGAATACCAATAAGATAAAAGCAATATATATAAAGTAAAATAAAAATAAAAAATAAAATAAAGAATTTTTACATTATAAACCATACACCTAATCATAATGTAATAAAAACCAAATTAGCCAATTAAAAAGGACACAAAAAATGATAAACAGGGAATAAGTAAATAAAAAATAATGGTCACACCACTAGAAAATAGCCCAACAACAACAAAAAAAAATAATTATAGTAATAATAAATAAAAATTATTTTTTGAAAAAACATTTTTATTTCAAAATTTTATTTAAAAAAATAAAAATTCATAAAAACTTTTAAATTTAAATAAAATAAAAGTTTACAGGGCCCTTGAAGTTATATATAAAACTATATAAAGCTAATGAAGCTAAAAAAAGTTAGTAATACAATAATAATTTGTTATACTTTTGTGGAAGTTAAAAAATTTCAAAACAAAATTAATAAACTTTTATCAATAATAATGAAAAAAATAAAGTTTTTTTTAATAAATGTAATGAAACTTATTTATAAAAAGCGCTAAAAATAGTGAAATTATAAAGCAAAAAATATCTAAAAAGCTGAAAAAATAATTATAAAAACTTATTTCAATGAAACCTTCAAATCTCGGTCGAACCACGTGTGCCATAAACCACCTCCATAAGTCTGAACGCCTATAACAAATAAATAATAGATGAAAACTTTAGAACGGAAAGAAATTCATATCAGAAAAAATTATGAAATATTTATAAAATAATAAAAAAAATAATCAAATAAAATTTATTAGTTTCGTTTTTCACTACAATAACGAAATTTAGTAACAATGAAATAAATAAAAATAATAATTTATTTGTATCGCTAAATAAAGTTTAAAAAAAACCTCAAAATGGTGTACAAACATTTTGTTTAAAAAAAAAGGAAGAAAAATGGTGCGAGAATATTTTTTGATGAAAATAATTATAAAATTCATTTAAACTAATAAAAAACGCCGTTAATGTAAAATCAGTAAATTTATAGAAAAGTGATAGAATAGATAACCACAAATAAAATAGAACAGAAAAAGTTTTTTAATATAAAAAAATAAATAAAGTTTATAAGTTTTAAAAACAAAAAGTAAAAAACTAAAACAAAAAATTTTAAATATTTACAAAATATAAAAAAATTTAATAAAAAAGTAAAGAAAAGAATTTAATATCATTAAAATTAGTTGAATAAAAAAATTTCAATTTTCTAATAAAAATGACGTAAAATGTATAAATATTATATAAATAATATTCTTTTATAATGTTAATAATACAACAGAAATATATAATATTACTAAATTTATAAATTAATATAAAACTTTTTATAAAAAAGATTTTATTAAAATAAAATTTTAAAGATTAATAGTAAAATATATAAAGCAAAATTTATTGATAATAAAGTAAATAATATTTATTGTAAAAATAGAAATATATAGAAAGAATAAAGAGAAAAAAGATGTCAAAAACAGTATTAACTTATTAAATATAAAAGTTATTATTGACAACAATAAATAACAGATAACAAAATAGTAATAATAATGAAAAGTATACCATAAAAAAATAAAACTAACGCTATTGTACTTAAAATTTTTAAATTTATTATAAGGGATTATATAGAAAATAATAAAATTAGTTAAACTATAGATAAAAGTAAAACCAATAAAGTAAAAAAATTAAAAGTAGAGAAAAAATGAACTCAATATCTTTTAAAAAGTAAAGTTTTCAGATAAATAACTAAAAGTATTTAAAAAAATATATATAAAAATTTTGAAATATTTTTCCAAATTTATTTTCCGTTAGATTAAAATATAAATAAAAAAATAATAAAATAATATATAAAAGTAAAAGATTTATGGATTGTATCGTAAAAGATTAAACCACAATAAGATATAAAAATTTTTTCTTGAAAAGAACTTATAAAAATACTTTAAAAAATTTTAAACAATCCAAAAATTTATTATTCATTTAAAATAAATCGTTATAAATTTATATATAAACAAAAATAAAATCAAATAATATATATAAAAGATTTATAAAATTGTATTAAAAAAGTTAAATCAATAAAAAATAATTTAAAAAAATTTCAATTAATGAAAAAGATTTACAAGAAAATTTAAAAAGTTTAAGTATTTTAGAAATAAAATATTAATAACAGTAAATATCGATAAATATATATGTTTAATATAAACTAAAATACTTATTTAAAAAGTAGAAATATTTGTAATATTATGTTAAAAAATTAATATCAAGCATTTTACCAAAAAAATATAGTTAAAAAAAATTTAAAAGTTATAAACAACTAAATTTTGATTCAATAAAAATAAATCATGGAAAATTATATTTTAAATAAATTGTACCGAAAAAAAAAATTATAACACAAAATTTACTAAAAAAATTAAATTTTAATAATCTTAAATTGAAATTTAATAAAAAGTATTAATTTATAGACAATTCAAAAATTCAATATTCATTGTAAATTTATATAAATTAAAATATTTATATAAAAAAATATTAATAAAACTCTATTAAAAATATTTAGAAACTAAATTTATTAAAGAAATTATAATCATAAAATTACTTTATTTAAAAAATTTCCATATTTATAAACAAATCAAAATTTAGTATTTATAAAAATAATTCATCAAAAATTTATATGAAAATATAACAATAATAAGGCAAAATATTAATAGGAAAAGTAAAGATGTATAAAATTGTATATAAAAAATTATATCACGAAATTTATTAAAAAATTTTAAATTTATAGATGTTTTAAAATTCGTTATTCATTAAAAGTAATTAGTTAATAAAACAATAATAAATAAAAATATTAATATAAAGGATTAAAGGATTTATAAAATTGTATTATAAATTCCAGTCACAAAATTATTAAAAAATTTAAAATTTAAAAATATTAGTTAAAAAAAGTTAAAAAATTATGTAAGAAAAAAAATTAGCTAAACAGTACAGAATTAGAATAAGAAGCGAAATAATTATATTAAATATTAAAAATATTAACAAAATTATAAGATTCATAAAATTAATAAGGCTTTATGTTTTTATAATAAAAATATAATAATTATAGTAAATATAATAAAAAGTTAAATATATGTATATATAAACTGTTAGGTTTAACCAAAATGGCATAATAAAAGTGAAAATCTAACTAGTACAAAAATAATTAATTATTAAATTAAAAAAATATTAAACAGTAAAAGAATAAAAATCTTTAAAAAAAAGTGATGCTAAAATAAAAATGGTAAAGCGAAATTTAATTATAATAGTTGTGAATTTTTAAAGTAAAGAATTACAAAAAATCAAAAAAAAAATTACAATTATATAATAATTTTAGAAAAAAATAAAAAAAAAAGTCAAAAGCAGAAATTAAAGTTTTCATATAAATAATTTTAAGATTTTGTTAAAAATTTAATTTAAAAAAAATAAATGAAAAAAATGAAAATATAAAATGTTTATTTATAAAATTACTACTTTAATAATAAATTAAAAAAACAAATAAGATTTTCTATAATAGAAGTTAGAAGAATTTAATTAAATTTAAAAAAAAATTTTTTAAAAAAATTATAAGAATTATAAAGAGGAATAAAATTATTTTGTGATTGAAAATATCAATTCTAGAAAAAACTATTTTTAAAAAAAAAGTTAGAAAGTAAAAATTTAAGTTTTTATAAAAATTATTAATAGTTTTTATTAAGAAGTTTGGATTATAAAAAATTGAAACACGATAAATTAGTAATATAAAAAGTAGTTACTCTAAATTAAAATAAAAAGGAATAAAAGATTTTTTTATAATTCAAGTTAAAAGTTTTAAGGGTAAATGTTAAAGAAAATAGAAAATAGACTAAAAAAATTTATAATTAAAAAAAAATATAAATTATTTTGTTAAATACCAAAAATATCAATTTTTTTTTTATAAAAAAACTAATAAATTAATAAAAAATAAAGAAATTTAAAAATTCAAGTTTTTTATAAAATAATCTTAAAATTTAACTATAAAAATTTTAATCGTTAAAATTAAATAGAAAAAATAAGAAATTATTACTTTAAAAATAATTTAAAAAGAATTAAATTTTTTAATATAAATATAAAGTTAAATCATTCAAAATGAAATTTTATGAAAAAATAATTTTCAAAAAAAAATTGAAAAAATATATAAAAATAATTATTATATTGTTAATTAATAAAAAATATTGTCTATAAAAAAGATTATAGGTATAACTAAAATTTAATAAAAAAAATAAAAAGTAGAAAAAAAATATATTAAATACTAATTAACAAAAATAATAGTTAGAAAATTTAAAAAAACTCAATAATTCATAAAAAGGACTTACTATTTCTCTATAAATTTGAAAAATTAATAAAAATTAAGTGATTAATATAAATAATAAAAATAATTTATATAAAAAGCAAAAATAATAAAAGTTTCTAATAAATTTGATAGTGAAGATTACAATTTTTTTTAGGGAATATTAAATTTATAAACTGTCAAAAATACTAAAGTTTATTAATATATAAGAACAAAAAAATTTAAGAAAAAATCTGTTAAACAAGTAAATTTCAAAAAGTATTAAACATTTTTTATATTTTTTTATAAAAAGTTGAAGGAAAAAGTTATGTACTAAATAGATATCAAAAACTAATAATTATTCATAATTTTTTTTTAAAAATTTAAAAATTTTAATATAAAGTTAAAAAATTTAAAGTTGAGTAATTCATAGATATTAATGATTAATAAATATAAAAAAATTAATTTATAAAATTATATTAAAAGTTTAAGAGAATAAATTTAGATAATACATAAATATAAAAGTTTAATTATTTTTTTTATTATTTTAAGAATTTAAATTTTTTCATGAAAGTTGTATAACAATTCGCAAATTTTTAAAAAATAATTTTAAAATTAAAGTAGAAAGTTTAAAATAACAAAATATATTAACTTAATTAAAATATAAATAATAAAATAAGATAATTACTTATAAATAAAATAAAAATTAAATTAATTTACAAAAAGTTAAGAATAAAACTTGAATTAAGAAAAATAAAATAATGAAAATTGATTATTACATATAAATAACTAAAAATAAAAAAAAGATTTTAAAAAAAAAATTAGTAAATAGTTACATAATTATAAGGTAAATACCAACAGCGCAATAATTGTGTTTCACAATTTTAGAAATGGGTTTTAATTTTAAACAAGGGCTATCAGTGTGAGCAGCAATAATGTTAAATCCGCTTCCTTTACTGTAATTTCCGCCTAACTAAGTAATTCGGAAAAAAAATAAAAAAAAGAATAAATTTATAAAAACTAATTTAAATTAATTGTCAAGAAAATTTGACAAAAAATTAACTTAAAAATGAATTATAAAATTAGAGTAAATTATTATTCAAGAGTAGCAACAAGCAAAAGTTAAAAGTACAAAAAAAAAAGTTAAAATATATTAACGTGAGAAAATGTTCTAATAACTTCTATTTATAGTTTAAATCATTTGAAAGTAAATGTTAACAAGTTGATATAATAAACAAAAAATTTAATAAATTCTTTAAAACTATTAATAAAATTATCTTATTAAAAAATCATTTTTAAAAATTTCCAACTCTATATTAGTACTCTAGAAGAATACAAAATATTACGCTAGTATAAAATTTATTTAAAGTAGATAATTAATTTGTAAAAGTTTGCCAAAAAAGTTATTATTATAATATAATAATAAAGTTTGAAAAAATAAAAGTAAAGATATATAACCACAAGCATTCCCACTTACTCTTATTTTTAAAAAAATTATATATATAACAAAAGTTTTTATTGATGTAATAGATGAGGAAACTACTTTGCTAGATTTAATATATTATATTTATATGATAATTTCGTATTTACGGCAAAAGCAATGATAGAAGTCCCGTTCCGAATCAAGAAGTATTTTCTATGTATATATTAAAGATAATAAGTATTTATACTGGGAAGTGTGCTATAGAAATAATTTACCCTAAACTTTTAAGTATAAATTTATTATGTTCTTTAATTTCAATAAATCCTGCTTTTTCTAATAGTTGTTTGGCTTCCTGAACTGCAAACTCGCAACGTATTTTTTATATAAATATAATTATTTAAGCAAAAAAACTAAAAAAAAACCGGCATGAAAAGGAGAAGGACTAGAGTTTAGGAAATTAATAAACTCTGTTCCAGTTTCTTTATAATCAACCATTCTAAAACCTTAAAGAATGGCAGAATAGAAAATAAACCGCTACACTGCTCAACTTATTTTTATAGAAAAAATATATAAAACCGCAGTTAACCTACAACAAATAAGAAAAGACCAGAAACGAACTGCAAGCAAGAAAATGACTTTTTACTTATTTATTGCGTTGGCGTGTTTTAGGCTTAATCTACATTCCCTTTAAGAAAGTTCGGGAAGCTAAATTGTTTTTAAGTGATAATTATATTTATAAGAAAACTTTTCTTTAGATTAAAGTTAAATTAGCTGAGTAAATTTTCACTGTCTTTATAGATATTATTAGTAAGATTTATTAGTAAAACTACAATCACTGTTATTATTATATCAATTGCTATAAATAAGTCATAAAATTGTATCATAATTGTTATAAATTACTAATTGTTACTTTCGTTATTTTAAAATTACTATAGATATTACACTAATGACTTTATAAAAAGTAACAATAAAAGTAAAATATTACCAATTTCTACCGCAAATTATCGGTATAAAATATGAGCAAAGAGGTGATTTTTTGGTGAGTTATACAAATTCGCTTATAATTTTTTTTAACCGGTGCGACACAATTTTAAAATCGCATCGAAAATATTTAACATTTTTCCAATTATCAGTGATTAATAACAAATAATTCACTATCAAATAGTAAATTGACTTTAAATTATTTGCAAAAGGCTTTATAATAACCAGAACGCGAAATTATAGTTTTTTGTAAAGTAATTTTTTTTCCAAAAAAAAAATTTCTAGGGTAGCGAATATATGCATATTCTATCAAACTGCGCTTACTAATAAATTGCATGAAGATATAATTTTCATCGGTCCTTAGAATTTAATATAAAAGAGTTTATATAACTGTTTACATAATAATAATTAAATATATATATATATATAATATTGTTTTTTTGCACTTGAAAATTTTAACACTGTCTTTAGCGGTTTGGAATAAAAAATTAAATAGTTAATAGGGAAAACAACTTAGTTTAAACAGGAATAGTGTTAACTGTGCCCTCTGCAAAATTTGGCGTCAAAACTTGAATGTCATGCTCTATCCACACGTTTATAAACCCCAATCCGTTTATCAAATTTTTTTACAAAAAAAAAATCCCTCGCATACATTTTGTCTGTCTTTAATGACTGGAATTTTTCAAAAAATAACCTCTTAATAGTATTTTAAGAAGGCGGTTCCACTCTCTTTTGATAGTTTGGGGGATGCCGTAGTTCCACTCAAGAATTTTTTGTTAAAAAATAAAGTATAAACACTGTTATAACCAAAGAAAGATTATAACGTTCTACGGGGATAAACAGCGCGGAGGTACAGCAATAGAAATTCGGAAACTTGATACAAATACTAAGGAAAACCAGAATTAAAAATGAAGATAAGCAGAAAATATGAAAAGAGTAATTATATTGAAATAAAACTTTAAGAACAAATAGGAAAAAACTGAGAGTTAAGCAGAACAGTCAAGAACAATTGTAACAAGGCGCTTTATAAAAAGATGTAATAAAACCTAAAACCCCCCTTGATATAAACCTTTCCGAGCCACAAAAGTGCTGGTGCCTGCCAAATTAGGTACAAGGTGTAAACCTTTAAGACTGTAACAAACACCCCAATTGAGTAATACTTCTTTGGGCGCAGAAAG